CACTCCAAGCTTCATTTGTTTCTCTTTCACCAGCTAGCAGAGTCACATCTCCTATCTATGCCCTTTGAACTCAAAAAGGCAGATAGCTGTGCTCAAGCACAGCCTGAGCAGCCAGGAATGCAGTGTGCTGTTCCTCAAACATGGAGTAAGGTTGTGCAAAATTACCAAGAGATCACTGAATGCAAAGAACACCAGAAGGTAGCTAAGAAATAAATTTCTGACGAGAAAAGTTTATTTTGAACAGCAACTGGAGTGAAAAAAGCCTCTGCAGTGCTCACATTCAGAAACAAGTCTGACACCCTTTGCAGTAACTGGTTGACACATTTTGGGGTTTTTTTGGTTTTTTTTCAAATGCTTTCAGAGCTGTCTCCATCCCTGCCTCAAAGGCACACAGTATTGTGAGAAGATAAAAAAAGGGAAAACCCTGCATGCTGGCCTCCTGAATTTGACATGTAGGTGAAGAAGAGAAACCTCTTTTCCATTTCCATGGTGTAAAATTTAATCTGTACACGTTTCCCGTCACATTATACCCTTTCCATGAAGCCGACTCACCAGTCCAGGAGCACACTGTTCTCCCTCCTGAGAGCACCCCTGGGAGAGAGCATGCTGTGGGCAACTTTATACATAAAAACTAACCAAAAATAGCAACTAATTACACTGATGTGGCAGTCAAGGATTTTAACTCCCTTCCTTGTAACATTAAGTCTGCTCTCTGAACAGTATTGGTAACAAAGAGTTTCAGATCCTTGGTTTGACACGCAGGAGACCAAATTATACCACTGTTTGGAGAAAGACAATGGCACTACATGATGTTGGATAGAAGAGCCTAGATTTTTTAATTCCAGAATCCCTCCCCCACCCTTATCCTTACTAGACCCAAACCGTTGAAGGAGAAAAGACACGTATTCTATTTTAATGCACATTCCCACACAGGACCAATGAAGGCTTTCACAGACAAAGGAACTTTGATTAAAATTCTCAACATTGTCTAGAGATCATCCACATCAGACCAAAATCCAATTAAAATTAGTCATAGTCTCAGTCCTTCTGTACCTGTCAACAATCTGCCAAACGGTTCCGATGATCGACACATGATCCGAGGAGTCCTCAGCCCTGTCAGACACAGACCCAGGAGTTCCCAATGCAGTTCCTTCTTACCTTGGCAGCACAAGGCTGAAGTACTCAGGAGCCTTGACTGGTGACAGAATAAAAATGCAGAGGCACTGCTGCTTATTCACGTACCAGTTTAAAAATAGTGTTCCTTCTTTTAAAAAGTACTTAAAAATGAAATGTCTCGGGTCCTCCACTTTGTGATTAAGTTAAATTTGCTTCTTTGCAGGTTGTAGCAATAAAGCATTAGAAGTCATAGTAATAATCCAGCTTTGCATCCACAGTTTTACATCCTTTATCAGAATAAATTCTCTCCTCTCTGGGAAAGTAGGTCATCTCGTCGGCTATTCTGGTTAAAATGTCCTCATCCACGGTGTAGCCACGCGATTCAATCTCAACCCTGACACACATTTTCACATGTTTGTATTCCAGAGGCAGGAAAGGGATAAAGTAGTCAATGAGATTTTTATCAATCAAAGTGCTGTGCCAAAATCCACCTGCAAAGGGAATGAGAGACTTGTTACTCCTCCTCTCGTTAACCACTACGTGGAAGAGGCACATCACGGTCCTCTGCTGTACACCATCACTTCATCTCACTGCAGGCCCCAAAACTGCATCGTGGCTCCTCACAAGTCAAAAACTGGAGGCCACATCGAGTAGAAACCATGGCTGTAAAAATGCAGCTAAGTACAGTCCATCCCTTTCGTGTAACCTTCACCCTCTCGAAAGCAATCCCAGCTTTACTCACTATTTTTGTTGTTGAAGACAGACACAGACAGTGCATTCTGGATGTCTGTGAGCTGGATGTCTTCCCTCGTCCTCCCGTTTCTCCAGAAATCCAGTGCCACCTCTGTTATCTTTTCAGCTCCTGCGTTGCTGAAACGAAGAGAAAACAAAGATTGTGGCTGGGGGTAGTTTTAAAAGGCATTGAGTGCACAGGGCTGCAAACCTGAGAAGGCACTTCTTACCTGAGGAAGATGAAGATGGCCTGTCTATAAGACACCCCATCCAGCAGCTCATAGTAGTCCAGGAAGGGCTTGATGGAGTCAATGAGTCCCGCGTGCATTTTATCCATTTCATCAAAGATGAAGAGGGATCTGGGACAGATGCTCACATTTCCCCGGATCCACGACTGCAGCTGGTCCTGAGTGCCATAAAAATGAAAGATGCTGAAAGAGGTTGTGTTGAAAAGACAGAAAACAGCACTTATGTTTACTGAATTTTGCCCATCACTTTTTCATATTCACTGTTTACTCAGTCCCTGAACTGCAGGTGTTAAGTAGCAGTCACTACTGGTGATAAGTAGCAATAGTTTCTCCTACTGCCTCGGGCAGCAAGTTTCCCACGAGTATCCACCTCAAAACAAATGCAGAAAAGCTTCCATTTTATTTTCAAACAGCTCAGCTACAAGAAGGGGGAAAATAAGCTGTAAAAGAGGAAATAACTATTTCCTCCATTTAGAAATCAGGCTTGTAGCTCATCCTGTTCCCATTTGCAACATATACAAAATGAATACAAACATGCAGTACTACAAGACAGTGGTACTCAATTCCAACTCTGCTGTTAACAAAGGTAGAACAAAAAAACCCAGAAAATATGCATGTGAGCTACTCCTCCACAATATCCCTCTGCCCACAGCACTGCACTGACCCCACAAGCTGACACAGCAATTCCAAGCACATTTATCTGTACCTCTCTGACCACAGAGTATTTTGTGATTTCACTTTACAGCTGGGAAATGCGTCCACAGAAAACTAAACAACCTGCTCAGTGTGCAGCAGAACTGACAGAAAGGTACGCCAATGCCTCAGAGATCAAACTTCAGCTTGCCATTGTACCTGATGCACCTGGAGGTCACCAAGTTGTTCCCCAGAGTCATGAAGTATTGGGTTTTTTTGCACTGCCCACCAACATATCACCTAACCATGAATCATGTTTATCCTTAACTCTCCCTAAGCAAACTGTAGAACTGTAGAAAATTAAACTGCACCATTCTTCCCTAAAGAGAGGCTCAAAATACATGCAGAAACCTTTACATTCATGGGAAAACCAGTCCTGATGGATGTTAGGATTCATGTAGTTCTGTGCTGAAGATTCCAAAACAGGCACAGGATACACGGTACTGCACAAAATAACGTCTAGGTCAGTAGTACTGACCATGCCATGGCATTTATGACCCAGTGCAGCAGAGCTCATTCTTACCTTGTAGAGATTGATGCTGTGAGCGTGAGGAAAGTGCAAAGTTGCCACGAACTGATGGACGTATTTACTCTGCAGGCCTTTCTTATAAATGCTCTCGGCGACAATCTTACTGACAAAGTTCTTGCCTGTCCCAGTCCAGCCGTGCAAAGAGAGCGCCAGGGGCTTTTTGGCGTTGGTGTTGTTCAAGAAGCCCCTCACGGCTTTCACAACCACCTTGCTCACCAGGTGCTGCCCGAACAGCCTCTTGTCCAAGGTGTCCTGCAGAGCTGGATGGAGAGACCACACGGTGAGCGGCGGCCGCAGCGCCGGGCAGGGGGCAAAGGGCCGGGCCGGGCCGGGCTGGAGCGGCTGCCCCCGGGGAGGCTCTGCCCGGCTCCCGGCGCCGCTGCCCCCGCGGCGCCCTCCCGCCACCTCCCCTCAGAGCCCGCCCCGGCCCCGCACCGGCGGCGGCGCGCTGGTCGTGCCGGTGGAGGCAGCACTCCCTGAAGTAGCAGTAGAGCCGCGGGTAGGAGATGAAGCCGGTGAGGGCGGAGGCGGCGGCGCCCGCGATGGCGAGCCCCAGGCTGATGGGCTCCACGGCGCCGGCCGGCGGGAGGAGCAGCAGCAACAACGCCAGGGCCGCCCGCAGCGCGCCCCGCCGCAGCTTCATGGCCCGCCTGGCCTCGCCGCCCTGCCGCCGCTTCCGCCCCTCAGCGCCGCTTCCGCCGCCGCCATCGCGGGTGGGGGAGAGGCGGGGCCGGCGCTGAGGGGCGGCCGCCATGTTTGGGCGGGCACGGGCGGGAACGGGCGGGAACGGCGCTGAGGGGCGGCCGCCATGTTTGGGCGGGAACGGGCGGGACCGGCGCTGAGGGGCGGCCGCCATGTTTGGGCGGGCACGGCCGCTGTCAGTGGCTGCGCGGCGGCCTCGCGTGGCGGAGTCATTAAATGTTACACTCTGTGGCCGTGTGTTAGAATCGTAGACTTCTCGAGGTTGGAAGAGGCTTTTATGGTCGGATCGTCGAGTCCAACTGTCAAGCCAGCACTACCACGGTGACAGATGCAAACAACTCTTGAACACCGCCAGGGATGGTGACTCCACCACCTTCCTGAGCAACCTATTCCAAGACCACCCTAACGTTGAACATTTTTTTCCTAATATCTAATCTAAACCTCCCATCTCAGCTTAAGGCTCCCTGTTCAGGGGATCCACCTGCACGGGGCTCAGGGACAAAGTCACCTATGGCCAGGCTCTGGGACAAACTCATCCATGGCCTGGCAGACAGACTTTTCCCATTTTCTGAAAAAAAAAAAAAAAAAAAAGTAAAATCTGATCTTGTCCCTCCTCACCCTGGAGTTGCCACTCCTGAGTTGACAGGACACCCTGGCTCTCAGTACCACCAGCACCCACAAACCATCCATAAGGATCCCAAAAGGAAAAATTTCACTTCCAATAACTTAAAACCACTTTTGCTATTTTCCAAGTTACAAATCTTCACCATAAGTACCCACATTGCACCTCCAGGGAAGACACGTGGCCTCTGCACCAGCTATACATTTTAAATATAAAGCTCCCAAGAGCCTTACATTTACAAATCAAACAGCACTGCTGCTTTTAAAGGATCTATTTTTTTTAAATACTTTTTGAAGGGGGTGAAAAAATCTATAAAAGCAAGTTTGTTTTCTCACTAAAAAATGCCAACCATGAAAGCTCATTTTCCATTATAAAACTTCATTTATAAGAACATAGCTATATACAGGGTTTCACTGACCAAAGAGTTCACAATCACCTGCAAACTGATTCACTACAAGATCACACAGGAAAAGCTTCGTAGTTAACATCAGCATGTGAAGGTAGTGACTCTCCTCAAAATCCATCGCAGGTCACTGACACAAAATCCTTTACTAGTGGAAAATCCAAACAACTCCAAAGGCTTCAGTCCACGTTCGTCAGTACCGCCTGTTCATCTTCTTGAACTTCTCATAGTGATAATCATCTGTGGCTTTTTCATTGAGGGGGCGTTTGCGATTTGGAGGAGACCCTTCAAAGGAGAGAGAAGGAAGTATTATTTCCCTGTCCTTCCACAGGAGATGTTGTCTTAACCCCACCACTTCCCTTATACAACCCCTTGCTATGTGAGGTTATTGCTTCAGCTGTCGCTGCTCCCCAGCCTCGCATCCTTTGCTGTTCCAGCTTCCACCAAACCCTTCTCAGACAGCCTTGGCAACACCCTTAAGCTGTGACCTTCACTACTCCATCCCTGAGCATCTCTAAAAACATCCTCCACTCAGAGGGGCTTCAGCTGTGACCAGTAGTGGTCCATCAAGTGCAAACAACCAGCTCTCTTGGACTTGGGATTGCTCCATTTCCCTCCTAGCTCAGGGCATTCAGGGGAGGTCAAAAGAGCCAGATCATTTCTCTGTTTCCCTGAAGAGTTTCAGTGCATCTCCTTACAGCCTTTCAAATTCAGAACTTACGCTCAGGTTCTGGTCTCTCCGTGTCCCCCACTCTCAGGGGACGGGGCTTTGGCTCCTCTTTGTTCCTTCTCACTGGTGCGTTCAGCTCCTCGTGGTAAACTGGAAGAAGGAGAACATCAGGTAAGGAATATTATTTGGAGCACTCTTATCCAGATGGAAAAATTTCTATGGCATTTGTGACAAGTCATCTTTAGCAGAAACAACAACAGCTTAAAAGAACCACTATTGGAATTGGGTTTCTGTGGATAATCAATACAGGCAAGATGCAGTACAGCAAATTTCAGTAGCACTATTTCATCAGAAGTGGCTCAACATTCTTCACTTCCTTCAGAACACACCAACCTGACCCCCAGTCACCCCTGTGAGCATGGAAAGACACAGCAGAAGGCTGCCTTTCCTCCAGATGGCTGTGGTATGAGAGGCTCTCCCGGAAATTAATTCCCTTCTCCTGTCTAGTAAGGTCTGTGGCCACCTGTCCGCTCTGGCAGCCTAAAAAATGGACCCTCTCCACTATAAACCACCATTTATCATCCCAGACAGGGCAGGCATTTCCAGCACACGCTCAAGGCACAACTTAAAGAAAACATCTTGAAATTTATGAGTTGCTGTCAGCTGGGAGTTCAGAAAGTTCAGCCATGAGAATGAGCAATGAGAGTCCCTCTTCTTGCTGACAGGAAGAAGAAAAAGACCGGGCCAGATGTGGTCTATATGAGCATCCCAGGAAAAGCAATTGTGGAGCTGCTTGTGCCAACACACAGACTTAATTTCTCCTGTGTCAGACTCTGTCCCAGCTGGGTCAGGAGAACTACACAAGACTTACATCTGTTGTGCTGAACATAATTAACAGCCATGTTGGTGGGAACAAAGGAAGTTTCGCTGTCTTTCTTCTTGTTCTGCTGCTCTGCCAGCAGCTTGGCCTTGGCCTCTTCAGTTGAGATGATGTTTTTTATTTTTGCACTGAAAGAGAAAGAAAAAAAATACTCGTTCATAGTTAGAAAGGGTAGCAGGCACAGAAGTGCTAAGTGGATGGGTTTGGGGGGTAGAAACAGCACTGCCATGGTACTTGATGTGTTTTTGGAGAGAGGAGGCGTCGCTATAGAAACAGGTGCTTTGTTTCAAATGCAAAAGGGAAGCTCCCATCTTTGTGCATCCTTTCAGTGCAGGGCACAAACAGGTCCTCCAGAAAGCTGCCAGAGTCGGGTCACAAAAACGAAGAGCCTTTTCCCACAGGTCCCACAGTGGAGCTGCACTGAGCCCTGTCGCTGTGTAGGACGTGCTGTGCTGCTTACCACACTAATCCAAAGCAATTCTCAGTCCCACCCCAGAGCCAAACTGGGGCTGTGTAATCCCCTCATAGTGCTGCTCTGCCAACCAACAGCTGCTCATCCTGGAAATTCTGGCCGTAACCCACAGATCTGTGAACCACATACTCGATTCCCAGGTCCACTTCAGGAATGCCACTCAGCATCTGGTTGGACAGCATCTCCTCAGTCTTCTTAGCAGAGGAGACACGGATGTTCTCTGGCAGCTCGTACAGAGAGTCCTCAGCGTTCTTCAGCTTCACCTTCTGCTCCTCGTTCTCCACAATTCCCTTTCTCTTCTTCAGCTCAGTCTCAATGTACTTCATCCTAAACAGCAGCACATGAAGAACACACAGCATTTAATTCTGTGCCTGTGCTCCTGCTGAGCACAGCTGCATCCCTGTCCTGAAAGCCAGGATAGAAGAGAGCAATCTCTCCAAAAGAACTCAGCTAACATCAACAGCAAGAATTAATTGTCCAAGAAACAATCAGATTCTCCATGCTCTTTCACAGCCAGCAGGGAAAGCTCCCACTGGAATTTAATACCAAGCTGGCTGGTTGTCACCTCCCAGCTCTGTCCATGAAAAAGCCTTCTCAAGTCTGGCATGCACTAACTGAAAGGGCGAGGGAAAGTTTCAGTGAGAACTGGGAAGATATTTTGGGATTACTCAGAATCCAAGACAGAAAGAAATAAATGGTGAGGGACCACCCAGGCCAGATCAACACCAGGGACACAGCACAACTCACATGTCAGCATCTTCATCCCGCCTGTTGGTTTCTGCTGAGAAGGAAGTTCCCAAGTTCAGATCTTCCTCTTCATTAATCCTAAGTGGAAACCACAATGTTTTCAGGTTTTAGTGGTTTTTTTAATTTGTTGTTTGGTTTTTTGGGGAGACAGGTGTGGTGTTCTTTTTAAACTAAATTAACAAGTTAGGGTAAAACTAACTGGCTGAACTGCATTATATTAAACTCTTCGAAGTGACACAACACCTGGTTAGTTCATTACCAGCTGTCATTTAACACTAGTCCAGGGAGAGATTTTCAGAGCTCACATGTACTCACCTGTCCTTGCCTCTTTCCTTCAGCTTCTTCATGTCCACCATTCCCCCGGATTTTATCTTAAATGGGTCATCCTGTAAAGCAAGATATAATGAGAAACCCTGAAGCTTCCCTCTAGTTTAACGCCAGTCCTCAACATCTGGATAAAAGCACAGAAAACATTTAAGAATTGAGCTGTGACATCGGTCTCACCCCCAGGCCAGACTCACACAGTCACTGGCTAAACCACAGCAATGTTTTCACACCATCACACCTCAGCCCCGGGGTGATGGCAGTGTCCAGCACTTACCACGAGTGTTGCTTCTTCTTGCAACTTCTCTCCCACAAGCAGAGCTACAGCGCTGGTCAGGCAGATAAGGAAAGGAAAGGGAATTCAGTGCAAGGAAACATATTACCAACAACACTGCATTGCTTTATCCTTCTCTAAGTCTGCCCCTCTTTTCCACCCTCAGGCTTTAACACAGAAACTCCTCTATCAGGAACATGGGTTTGGCAGTATCTGACATGTAAGGAAGGAGGCAGATGACAAGAGAGAAACGCACTGTTACATCACACCCTCGGACAAGGCACAACTTCCCATCCCTTACCTCACCCCATTGGGTCGCTTTCTGAGGCTCTGAACTTCTTTGGCTTCCTCAAGTTTTAACCTGAATAAAAAAATACATTTGACTTAGTACTTGATGCCTTCCTTTTAATTAATTATTTTGATTTTCTGTAGTTAACATGGAATTTTCTAGTTAGACCTTGCCCTAAACCTCTGCATATCAGCATCCACTTTTCAGATTAAATAGGTATTTTCTATTTATTTAAGCAATTTCGTGTATTTAAGCAATCAGAAAAAAAATCCCTGCTGGATTGAATGTTGAAAGGTTTTAAGAAGAAGCCAATTTGGTAAGAACAAGCCAAGACACATCAGAGCACAAACGACTCTGAAGAAAGCTGACGGTAAACTGAAAGCCCAAGTGTCTCTCTCTAAACTGACAGGTATCCTTAACTTCTGCAGGTATTCAGACTTTTCCTAATTACACATTTTTTAATACCTGCCAAGAACTGTTCATCGCCAAGTATTTTTCAGATATAAAAAATAACAAGGTCTTGTTGGGGATGGAAGAATCTGAGAACAGAAGGGACCCTCTGTGAGTGCCCATTTATTTCCAGGAGGATGTCGAGGGAATGCCAAGGAAGAGGCGGGTGCCCGGCAGGGACAGAGGGTCTGTGGGGGTCAGGGTGGCCCTCGGTGTTTCCAAGCACAGCTCCTGGGGCTGCCCGGATCCAAACCCTCTCGTCTCCTGGCCGGAGCACCGGGGGATGAGGGGAGATGGACGAGACATCCCTGGGAACGGATCTGCCACCCTGGAGCGGCCGCAGATGATGGAGAGATGAAGTGACACAACCGTGTAGCGGTGTGACGTGATGCTGTGACGCAACGGCTCCATAACACAGTGCTTCAACACATGACGCACCTCGGTGACGATACGACGATATGACGACATGACAGCATGTCGCGACGCGGCACTGCTGCACTAAGGCAGACCCGGCCACCCGTCCCCACTCCCGACCGCGCCGCGACCGCTGGGCCCGGCCGGGCCCCCCGCCGGCTCCCGACCCACCTGACCTCCTCGGCGAGCTGCTCGTCCTCCTCCTCCTCCTCGTCCTCCCTGCGCCGCCGGAAGGACTTGTTGGCCGGCATCGCCGGGACACGACACGACACGGCCACCACAGCGCTGCTCCTCTCCCGCACCCGCGTCGCGCCGCGATGACGCCACAGCGCCGCGCCGAAGCCGGGCGGCCCCGCCCCCGTGCCAGCACCTTGTCCGGGCAGGAGCCCCCGGGAGCCACCCCGTGCCCTCCCGGGAGCGGCGCCGGGAGCCCCCCGGGCCCCCCTGACTCCTCCGAGGAGCCCCCGTGTAAGTCACGGCGGGCGTCCCGTTCCTCGCAGCCCCGCCGGTGGCCCGCTGCGTGTCAGGGGAGCGCCGGTCCCACAGCCGGGTTCACAGCCCTTGCAGCGGGAGGGACGCGGCTCCTCCAGCCCCGGCCGCCCCCCGGTTCACCGAGCCGCGCTGTCGGGAGCCCCGGCTGAGCGAGGGCTGAGCCCCGACCGCAGGTGACGGTGGAGCCCCCGCGGCCCGCAGAGGCAGCGCCGCCGCCCCACCCCACGGCCCGGCTCGGCCCGGCCCCGCCCCGGCGCGGCCCCGCTCCTCCCCGGCCTGCGCGGCCCGCCGCTGCTCCGCCGGCTCCCGCGCTGCCCGGGGCCCGCGGCCCTTCCCGGCGGCACTGGCCTGCGGCGGGGCGTCCCGAGCATCCCGCAGGTGAGCGGGGAAGGCGGGCGGGGGCGGCGGGGCCGTGCGGGGGAGGAAGGGAGGGCGGCCGGGCTCGGGATGATGCAGCAGCAGCGGCCGCGGAGCTCCGGGATCCCCGGCTTTGGGGCGGCCCTGCAGCCCCCCAGGGCCCGCTGCCTTCCCCGGGGCGACGGTTTGGAGGTTTCTGTTCAGCCTCCGTCGTGCGGAGCAGCTGTAGCGGCTGTCGGGAGGGGATTTGTGCTTGAGGAGCGGCACAGCGGGGAAAGGGGGCAGTTCCGGAGGTGTTTTTTGCCTAAAAGCTAAATCTCTGAGTAAGCCGTTGTGTTGTGACCTCCTGTAACAAATCAGTGTTCAGACCTGGCTCTGCTTTGCCTGTTCCACATAAACCTTCTGGTTTCCCCTGCAAACGTTCAGCAGCGACTCAGAAGCACCTCCTTTCTGCTCCTGCCTTGTCAGTAGGGCAGTTCAGTAAATATTTCTTTCTTTAGTATCTCAAGCATAAAAACGTCGCTGAGAACAACTGCAGATACTCCGTTCCCTTGGTGGGTTATGCAAGACCAGACCCGGTAGTTTGTTTTGTGGATGAGCAGTGCAAAGATCTCTTTTTGTTTATGCAGTTACTCCACAGTCGGTCAGCCTGCATGGATCTGAAACTCTTGATAGCTTGGCTCTAGCTTTGGTACAAAACCACACGGTTGTTTTAAACAAAAAAAAAAAAAAACAAACCCACCAAAAAACCCAAGCCCAAGAAATGTGTTCCTGTAGAAGACAGAGGCGCTGGGTTTGGCAGCAATTTAAGCAACTGAAAGTAGGTTGCAGTTACGGTGGAATTGTTCTGACATGTTCGTGTACTGTTCCTCCACACTGGTGCTTGAGAAAGACAGGCTGAGGGACTTGTTTTAGGGTAACTTCTTTTCCCATCATCTGCAGTACGTTTTGACAGGCTCAGTTCAGCTTTCTGGCAGTGCTTTCATGAAATTCCTGGTTTCCTGCGCAGCGTCAGGGCTGTGTGTGTGCCAGCTAAAGCTCGTAGGGCAGAGTCGTGGGAAGGCAGAGGTTGAACATATCCTTCTGAACAGTCACAACTCGAACCTTTTTCTGACGTGTGCTGTCAGGGCTGGGAGGCAAAAATGAGGTTTTCCCCTGCTTTGTTAAAAAAGGGAAGCCCTGTGTGGGAACCCCGGTGCTGGAAAGTCTAAAGGCATGGTTTTAATTTTGGGTGGTGGAGAGGGGTGGCCCCACCGAGAGCACTGAAACCATCCATGTCCACAAGACTGAATTAACACTGTGTGCTCCAGAACTGGCTCCTTGTTTGCTTGAGCTGGTGAAGATAAGGGGGTCTGGAATTAATTTTAAAACAGTATTTTGTTCACTAGATTATCTGGGAAACATCTGGGGAAGAGACAAGAAATCAAGGAAGGTGAAATAGCAAACGTGGCATTGATACTTTTTTTTTTTTTTTTTTTTAATTGGACCAGCTGATGCATTTGGGAAAACGGGGTCGGGCTTGATGAAGGGACTCAGAGCCTGAAATGTCCCAGTTTTATGTGTTACTCAAAGCTGCTGTGCTCTTGTCACTTGTCTTTTAAATCAACATGTGTTACGTGGTGCTGTTTTCCTTTCTCTGGGAAGCTGCATGGAATTGCTTCATTGTTTGTTAAGCACCTCTTCCCAGGTTACAGAGATCCAGGTCAGCACCACTGGGGTGTTTTCTACCATGCACATATGGTTTCTTCCCCCTCCAGTTTTGCTTTGCTCCTGCTGTCAGTTCATTCAGTTCTGCAGAGTGCTGGGAAAACATTGTAAAATTGTCCTTGAGGGTTTGTCTCCTGCCAAGGCAAGGTGCTAGGCAAGCTTTTCCACTCCCAAGATAAGTGTTGCTGCAATGGTTTATTCAAATATCTTTTTTCTTTTTTAATCAATGATTCAGACCAGATAACACTGGGAATTCTTTCAAATGTCCTCAAAATGTGAAAAAAACCCACCAAAAACCGGTATAGCAGCCCTGGAGTCATTAACATCAAGTTCATCAGATTTTTCCACTTCTTTCTTGCAGCGATGTGGGCTTTTCATATCTGCTTCATTTCCAGCCAACAGTAATATTTTTGATCCTGGTCTGTGCTATTAATATCACTTGTCTTCTTTTTTTTTTTTTTAACAGCCATGAGTGAGGTTATTTAAGTTAAGAAACACAAAGTCCTCTCTTTTTTTTTTTTTATATAACTGCATGTTACTGAGACATGTTTAAAGTCTTTTACATACCCCTGGACCACCATGAAACTGTTTATTGTGCTCATAAGCACAGAGCTATGAAATCCTGTGTTCTTGTGGTGCTTGGACATATGAGCCAGGTGGAACAGTGTGTTGTTAAGTTTTGCACAATCTCAAGAGTTATGTGGCTCATACTGTTAAAAATCTGCCTGTCAAATGGTAAATTCCTCAGAGACTGTAGCCGGGTTATTGGTGTTACAGTTCATTTAAGTTTATTCCCCTCTTACCCAGCTTCATTTAGAACTAATCATGTATTTAGGGTTTGATAAAGGAGTGTAACAGCAAAGTGTTAGATTGAGATCAGCTGGAAGACACCACAGGCTCCGCACTGGTGTCTTGGATTTGTTTCAATCTCTGAACCTTAAAGGTGGATATGTAACATCTGATAGGCAAAGCATGCCAAGGTATCTTCTAACAATCTGTGAGAGCAAACCTGACATGTAGGTAAAAGGATCTATCTGTCCTTGTCCTAGGAAAACACCCACCTTGGTGAAAATGGGGGACACACGAGACATCTGTCCTCACCTGGATTCCATAGGAGAGGTGACCAGGGATGACCTGCTGCTCAAATCCAAGGTACAGGGTGTTGTGGTTGTTGGTCCCTTCCCTTTTAGCTGTTGTGCATGGATTTCCATGTTTGCTTTTTGAAGAAAATGCCGCCTGCCTCCAGAGAGAGGAGATCTGATCTACTCTGCACATGTCCCATAAAGTCATCCTTTGTGACCCCCCTGATCTCTTCCTCCCCAGGATATTTTATCCTGCTTAAACGTGTCACTTAGCTAAAGTGCTGCAAATTGCATGTGTTTGATTGGAAGTGTGCTATTAAGGAATGAAACACTGTGAGCTGCAGGTTGGCACGGGCTGTCTCACTGAGAAGTTTCCCCACTCTTGAAGGACTTGGTTGCTTAAAAACCAACCAAGCAAACAAACCTTCTTTTGTCATGAATATGCAGGGAACTTGCCAGTCCTGTGGAGCTGTGGGACCAAACCTCTGGGCTTGTCTTCAGGTAAAAATGGCTTATTTGTGTACATGATGTGGTGGGACTTCACTTGAATAGTAGGAGGCAAAGAGGGGATTGACAGTGGAACTATCTATGTTTTTTTGATGGATTCCAAGGAGGAGACTCCCTAGATGAAAGGGCAATGCTGTCAGAATCTGCCAAGATGTAACAGTTCACTCCTTATAGGGAATTGCCCCTGCAATAGGAAGGAATAAAATGCCCAGTGTTGACTGTGGGCTGCCTGTGCTACTTCTGCTGGCACCTGTGAAGGGGCTGCAGGGTGACACCTTGGCAGACATTGCTCAGGGCAGTGTCAGGGAGGGAATGCCACGGGACATGTGGGTGGGAAGGGGCAGTTTCTTTCTACACTGGAATCCCCAGGAGGTTTGAGGCTGCTCAGAGGAGCTGCCCGTTGGAGCAGCGACTTTGGAACGGAGCCTTTACCTGGGTGCAAACCTGATTCCAGGTTTCCTTTCTTAAATCACTTCTAAACATCCATCAGTTCTGAATTTCCATCTCGTTCTGGGCCCTGTATAAAAAGCAAATTAGAAAACTGGCAAGGTGATTCTGAAGTTGCTGCTGCTGCTGGTGGGACTGGAGTTGCAGAGTGCTTTGTGAAGGCTCTAATTTGATGTGCCCGTTGTGCTTTGGCTCTCTTCCCTCTCTAGATTGGTTGTCCTTATGTTGGTTGTGGGGAATCCTTTGCTGACCACAGCACACTTCATGCACAGGTGAGCTTTCCTCTGTCATCCACGTTTAGGCACAGCTGGATTTTCCCCATTCCTGGTAGTCCTGTGCTTCAAATTGCACCAGCTCTCAGAGGAGACCCCTTATTTCACCCTTTTTTTTAATTTTTAGGCCAAAAAGCACAACCTGACGGTGAACCTGACCACGTTCCGGGTGTGGTGCTACGCCTGTGAGAAGGAGGTGTTCCTGGAGCAGAGGCTGGCAGCTCACCCACCCTCCCCCCCAGCCAAGCTCACTGAACCGGTGGGTCTGTGTCACACAGGGCCAGGGTGGAACGCTCGGCAGGGCTTTTGTTTGCCTGGTGTAAAATTAGCCAAGTGGTTTCTGCTGCTGTGCAGGTGGTGTTGTCACAGGAACTCTTGTGCTGAACGTAGCCAGAGGACCAGTAGCCCTGCCTTACAGGGCCTGCCAGCAAAAAGATTTCCAGATGACTTGGGGGTTGGAATTAGGTGATTTTTAAGGTCCCTTCCAACCCACACCATTCCATGATCCTATGATTCTATGACTTCAATATCCATTCTGACTTTATTTTTAACCTTTCCTTGCCTCTTCTGCATCTGGGAGGAACCACTGCAGCTGTGCCATCTTCATTTTCAGTGCATGGCCCATGGGAGTTTTAGCTGTCAGACCAGAAACACACGTACTTGTGACAGTGCTGCTCGTTCCTGATGCCTCTTATCATGTGTACTGGAAGCAGTAATGGCACTATTTCCATTCCCTCCTGGCATGAGTGAGAAGGGTAGACAGTGCAACTGGTTCTTCTCTCTACAGAGTGCATTTCTTAAGGGCTGGCTCAGTTTATATGTGAGATAATATCTCTCACAGCTCATCATTCATTTCTCTCACTGAGACTTATTTCTCTGTCTTTAATCTAGGACTCTCCTTTGCCTGCTCACCCTCTGAAAGCTGTTCCAATTGCAGTGGCTGATGAAGGCGAATCTGAGTCAGAGGATGATGATTTGAAACCAAGAGGTAACTTTGCATCTCATGGATGAAAGGGCTGGGAGGGCAACTCTGCAGTCTGTAGGATCTGCACTGGGAGGCTCCTGGGAGCAGAGTGTGGAGACTGCCTAGAAAGGGTTGGATTCCCTGTTCTTTGGGGAGGAATATAGAAAGCAGCATGTCTGGAAAGTGATTCATCCCTCTCTTGTTTGTGCTTTAGGCCTTACTGGAATGAAAAATCTTGGGAACTCCTGCTACATGAATGCAGCACTTCAGGCTCTCTCTAACTGGTAGGCGTGAGGGCCTTCAGTGGCATCCTTCACTAAATACCAAAAGTGTCACCTCTGATCTGAAACCTTCACGAGTCTTGTAAAGAGAGATCAGCCAGCCTAAGGGCAGAAAAAAATAGTGTTTGTTTAGGGCAACAGAAGTGTTACAGCAGGAAATTGCTTGAAGTAAAACTTCATCATTTCTGTTGCAACAGAAAGTATTTATCCTGTGGAAAGCCATGTCACATCTCTTTATTCTCCCCAGTGATACTCTAACAACCCATATCCTAAAACATTCTTTAGCCATCCTGCTGAGGGCTAATTCTAGGATCTCTTCTCTATACTGGGAACAGGTTCACATCAGCCTTTTCCATTTGTTTCAAGTTAGAGGTCAGGTCTGCATCTGGAACCGTTTCTTCCCTTGATTTAAAAGCAGTACCTTAAGCGTGCTTTTGATAAGGCCTGCATTTAAATTTTAATAAGCCCTTAAGCAGAAGCAGAGGAGAAATTTCTGAATCCTTCTCTTCTGTCTCTTGTAGCCCACCTCTCACACAGTTTTTCCTGGAATGTGGTGGACTGGTCCGTACAGATAAGAAACCCGCGCTGTGCAAAAGTTACCAGAAGTTGGTGTCTGAGGTTTGGCACAAGAAACGGTGAGTGGTCACCTCTGATCTAACCTGGCCAGGCCTCACAGATGTGTTAGTTATGAGATCTGGATGGAAGAAGTGATACAGAGATTTTTACTGAAGAGAGTGGAAAATGAAGGTGACATTTTGGGAAATGTGTGCTACTGGTTCAAATCCAGACCAGTTCAAAGGACAGTGCAAAATTATGCAGCTCTGTTAAAATCTGAAGTTGTCTGCTCTGTGCAATCAATTAAAAACCATCAAGCTAAGAATTTAAATGGCACTGCATGTTTACCTTGTGTTTGTTTTTAACAAGGCATAAGTAAGATACAGAACAAAAGTGAAGCGTGTCTTTGTGGAGGAGGGAGCTCTAGACTTTGAAGCAATATCATATCATTTTGATCTTAGTTTGATTTACCCCCTTTTCTGGGTGGTCAGCCCACCCAGATTTTGAGCCAGACATGGTGCTGCATAATCCAACCAAGAAACTCTTAATTGCCAAACCCTGCTCTAGAAAGAATCAGTTGAGAGCATTCAAAGTGTGGACAGAGCTGTAAGTGAAATATGCTCTGGGGAAGAGTCTCTCTGGAAGGACAGACTGAAATGGCTGCGAGGTGTTTTCTCTCTCTTGGTGTGTTTGTCGTCCAGCTAAAGCAGAAATCTGTGCCCAGGCTTTGCAGGTCCATAATTGTCTTTTGTCCTCTTTAACTGATTACCACACCCTCTGCTATGGCCTATTAGACAGACTGGCTCTGGGCCCAATAAGCAAATTAACTCATTTTTTCTTTTTCCATGTCTAAACAGCCCAAGCTATGTTGTTCCAAGCAGTCTATCCCATGGAATTAAACTCGTCAACCCCATGTTCCGAGGCTATGCACAGCAGGTGGGGCCTGAAAAAACCCATGCCATTGTTCCAGAGATTTTCCATATTCCATAATTCCTGCAGTGGTGGTGCTTGTGTTCAGAAGGAAGAGCTTGAGCTTGGGGTTGTGGCCTTTTTTTGTATCAGTATCAGTGATTTGGTAGAGCATTGGGGTGGGATTTGGGAGACCTGGGTACTTGCTGCTTCCAAGTCAGTTCATTTTCTTGTGTCAGCTTGCTCACCTCTGAAATTATGGTGGTCAAATCCTTTATAAACAGCTTTGGGGTCTACTGATACCTGCTGTATAAGAATTTGGTATTATTTCTTCACATCAGAGCTGAAAAACCTGGATAAATCTGTACTAAAAAGTCAAAGATGTGAGCTTTCTATGTTCTCTTTCTGGGGAATCGCAGCAAACTAAATCTTATATAAAGATAGTATCCTTTTCTTTTTCTTTGAAGTCTTTATCAGTGTAGCTGCTCTGTTTGTTCTTTAGAATCAAATGTAAACAAAAAACTATGATTCAAAAATTTGCAAGAGAAGTGACAGTACATCTAAACCATGATAGTGACAAGAAATCAAAACAGAGGATAAAAATAATGATTAATGAAAGAACTTCTATATCTGTCTTTGATGTGAAGTACATTGGCTTGGAAAACTCTCATCTCTAAAGAGATAAAATTGAAGGCAGGGCAGGCTAAAAGCCAAACTTCATAAAATAACAGAAACATCATAATTAACTCTCTGGAGTTGTCAAAATATGAAGTTGCTTTCCAGCAGCTCCTTTGAAGCCAACATATCAGCTCTTTCACCATGTTATTATGAATGTAGGAGCTTGCACCTAGATAGTATAGCCTGGGTTCCATTCCTTGTTTATTAAAGATTTTAATCTGCCCTCTCCAAGAGATGGATTACCACGAGCAGAAGAAACCTGCTGTTTTCATCAGATCTCTCCTTGTCTCTTCCCTCTTATCAGTGGCAAACCCTTGACAAATAAGCTCCTGCTTTGCAAGCTGCTCTCTGGCTTTTCAATGTCCTTCAGCTGAAGATATTCAGATAAAAAAAAAAAAATTGTGCATTTTATTATTTAAGAGTTAATAGCGTTTCTGTAGCAGAGAGGCCCTTTGGTGCATGGCCATGAGCCTCTCTCTGCTCCAGCCAGGTCTCCACGTGCTGCAGAGCTGGCTGACCTTTGTGGGCAGTGGTGGAATAGGCTGAGAGTGGGGCCCCTCTTTGCCCCTCTCATCTGCCCCATTTCTGGCTGGATACTGACATGGAATCCCTCGGTTTTCAGGACACCCAGGAGTTCCTGCGGTGCCTGATGGATCAGCTCCACGAGGAACTGAAGGAACCAGTTGTTGCAGAGACGAGGGATTTGGATACCATTGACCAGGAGGACAAGCGGGAGGGGGACCGGAGCCCTTCGGAGGATGAGTTCCTGTCCTGTGACTCCAGCAGTGACAGGGGTGAAGGAGAGGGACAAAGTCGGACCACAGGGAGCATGGGAAGTGGCTCCTTAGCAGAGACAGAGCTGTTGATCCAGGATGAAGCAGGGAGAGGGATCTCTGAGAAAGAGAGGATGAAGGACAGGAAGTTCTCCTGTGGCCACCGGCGCAGCAACTCGGAGCAGGTGGATGAGGATGCAGATGTTGACACTACCATGATGGCAGTTGATGGCAGAGCCTCACCTGAGATGCTGCCAGCTCCCCGTCCTGCCAGCCCGTGTAGGACACCAGGTACACACCTCTGCCAGTCAGGATGTCTCTGAGAAGATGTGTTACATCCTGCACAGGGACTGTGGTGTGGTGCAGTGGGCAAACCACACATGATGTGACTGTTCCTTCTCGGGGTTTCAACAGATTTTGCATCCAAGGTTTTCCTCAGTCGTGCCTTTGTCTATAAGAAAATACAATAGATGAGCCAGAGAGGTGCTTAGCCAGGCCAGAGTGCTGTGAGCTCAGTAAAGGCACATCAGTGTCTTTACCTGCCTCTGCCAAACCTGCAAACACTGTATTTATACCTTTTAAGAAAAAAGGTTTTGTATATGTATGTTGCTTCATTTGAAACTCTGACCTGGGGAAATAATAGCTGTGGAAAGGGCATGGGAGAAGGTGTTTGCTAGTGTTGGACTGTGGGCTTTGGGGAGAGAAAAGGGAGAGGCACAGTTTGTGCATTTCTGTGTCTCGGGGAAAAGAAAAGAGCAGCAGTGTGGAGTCACCTCAAGCTGAACATACCCGATCTTTCAACGCTTCTTTATGTAAGAGTCTTACTCTGCCAGCTGGCACTGAAGGCAGCAGTGCTGTTTGTGTGGATTAGGGCTACAGGAGCAAGCTGCAAAACCTAATTAGTCATCTAAGTGTGAAAAAATGGCGAGTTGTTTTAGGGTTTTTTTTCAGTATGTGATTATTAGCTGTTCAGTGTAGCTCTGCGTGCACTCTCACCCGTGCTCCGAGGGAGCTGTGTCTGCCAGCCTGTGCAAGCAGGACAGGTAACAGGCACTGAACTGCACCTTTGGGAAAGATTCTGTGCTGGAATGCAGAGCTGGGCTGACACCGATGGCAGTGGGGTTGCCTTTTGTAACTGGGGTTTTCACTCTTTTTCACCCTTTTCCCTCCCCCTGTGCCCAAGCAGAACCCGACAATGATGCCTACGTGCGCTGCTCCTCACGGCCCTGCAGCCCGGTCCATCATGAGATGCACTCCAAGCTGTCCAGCAGCCCTCCTCGCTCCAGCCCTGCCAGGATTGGACCTTCCTACGTACTCAAGAAAGGTAGTGCAGAGAGGGGTTGCTGGGAGGCAAAGGGGGGAGCACGTAGAGGAGGATGGGGAGAGAAGGAATCCGTTGTGATTCTTGATTAACAGGTGTAAACAGTGCTGATTCCCCTGGACATCAGTGCATTCTAAAATAGTATTTGGCAAAGACTACAGTAAACCTGCAGGTAAAGTCAAGCTCTGGGCACAACAATGTTCCAGTTTGTTCTTACACTAGAGCCTGAAATGATCTCCGTGTCTGCATCTGCTGTGTTTGTCATGAATAAAATGGCTCTGAAGTCCCAGGCACAGGCTCTGTCCCTTCAGGGGAGTGGGGAGATGCATAAACATTTGTCTGCCAGACTTGAATTTCATAGCATGTGGGCCAGAGGACTGTAAGATGTTGTTACTGACAGAGCTTCCTGCCTCTTGGACAGCCTGGGCTCAATGGAATTGAGGCTGCAGATGTCCCTCCAGTGCTGGGAGCACTGTCAGGGCAGAGCAGAGCCTGGCCTGTGTTGTTATCAAACCAGCCTCTTCATCCCAAAGCAAACTGCAAATCAAAATCCCTCCACGTTGCATAGTCTGCAAACACAATGGCATGTGCTTGTACCACTGTCCCTACAGCTGTTCCATGAGGACATTCTTTCTTCAGCTGTGTCCCAGCCCCTTGGCTGAGGTCAGCACAGCCGCAGATGTTCTGGCTGGATGAAGAGCACTCTGTCTCCCTGCACGTGTGTGTGGGGAGAGGGTTTGTCATTAAACAAAACTTTGCATTTGGCCAGTCCCTGTTGTGGAGAATCCTCTCCAGTGTAAAAAGCCTGGGGAACACGTGGCCAGAGGGAAAAAAAAAAAAAAAAGACAAAGTACATAGACAGGTCAGGGGGGAGAGGAGGTAAAGTGCAAAGCTTAGAGCAAAATGTCGCAAGACTTAAAAAAAGCAAGGGACTGTCTGTGGCAGAGCCAGGCTTTTAAACTTGTAAGAGGATGGAAACAGGATTTCCAGTAAGACAATTTCTGCCTCCTGAGAGCTGGCACGCTGCTGTTGGCTCAGTTGGCTGCCTCCCCTTTCCCGTACCACACACAGCAGCAGCATCCTCCATGTCCTTTAACTACAGGCTCCATCATCTCCCTGCCATGCACGTGGGGTCTGAACATCAGGACAGTGCTTGTCTTATGTTGTTACGTGACTGTGTGACTCTAGGGAGACAGGAGACTGAGGGGAGTTACTGCACAGTGGGGCTTCCTTGTCTTTCAGCCCAGATGCAGGCTTCTGGGAAAAAGAAGAAGGAACTCCGTTACCGCAGTGTGATCTCCGACATCTTCGACGGCTCCATCCTCAGCCTGGTGCAGTGCCTCACCTGCGACAGGGTGAGTCTCCTGGGCCCTGTCAGCCTCACAGCACAGGTTTCAAGCTTGTAGATCCCTTCCCTAGGGAATGGTGTTGCTCTTTCCAAACCCTGGGATGCAGAGGCCTGCTAAAATGGGGATGGGTGATGGCAGGGGAGGTGTGAGAACGTGCCATGCCAAGGAGATGGGTATCTCTGGAGGGGTCTGTTTGCTGATCCATGTTACTGAGTTGGCCCAGCATATCAGATTCACATCAGGAAACTGAGTCCAGTGCTACAAAAGCCCTGACAGAAGTCAGTCTGCTGACAGCAGGGAAGAATAATTAGCCAGAGCAAGTTGCTCCTACTGCCAGCTCGGGTTTCTAGCCTAGACAAAATCCAAGCAGTGATAAAAGGTGATGAAGGTCAGGTCCCATCTCCATTACACACACAGGAAACCCAGACCTCTTCCTCTTGGATATTTCCAGGTTTCTACAACAGTGGAGACATTCCAGGACCTGTCACTCCCAATCCCAGGGAAGGAGGACTTGGCCAAGCTGCATTCTGCCATCTACCAAAACGTGCCAGCTAAGACAGGGGCATGTGGGGACAACTATGCCTCCCAAGGCTGGATTGCTTTCATCATGGACTATATCCGGAGGTGTGTTCCCTCTGCAGGACCTGTTTTCTCTGGGGTTTGCTCTGCAGTGCTGGAAGGCAGCTATCCCTAACCAGTGGTCACTTGGAACCATTCCTTGGAGGACAGCATGTGGCATCTCACAGGGCTTTGAGCCTTTTCATCTAAACCAGTTGTTACCATTCCTCTAGTTCTGTCACTCACTTGAGAGCTCTTGTGCAGCTGATCATCCCTCACTTCTGCCCTCCAGAGCAAGTTAATTCCTGGTGTAGCTTTCCAAATCATTTCCAGTTTGAGCAGCCACAGTAGGAACATCAGCTGAGAGCAGTCCTGCTTTCCCTGCTCCTCTGGGATGTAGAATGAGCTTAGGAAGGAAACCCATCATCCATTTGGGGTTTTGTACACCAAAGCATTCAGCTATTTTATGTGTAACTCTTAATCCCTCCTCCTCTGCAGGTTCGTGGTGTCCTGTATCCCTAGCTGGTTTTGGGGTCCCGTGGTGACACTGGAGGATTGCCTTGCTGCCTTTTTTGCAGCAGATGAGTTGAAGGGTGAGTTTTCTTCAGTGGGGTCTGACAGCATGGAGGAGCATTTTGGAGGCAAATTAAAGCTCCAACAAGTCCTGCCTTATTATGTCACTTAGGGACTGGCAGTACCAAAAGTTGGCAGCTCAGCATCTCTGGGTGAGAGTGCCCTCAGCAAAGAGCAGACATAGCTGTTGGTTGGTTGAGTGCTAAGTTTCTTTGCTTTCTCCATCAGCTTCTTAAGTTCTAGGGGACTCAGTTTGCTGTTTGTGTGGTGTTGGTGGGCAGTTCCATACTTTCCTGCTAGTTGCATTCTCTTCTTGCCCACACTTATTGAGAGGAGTTGTTTTGATCTCTTTTCACCCTGGCTTCCCCAGGGGGCTGTTAACCTGGTTTCTCTGCCTTGGTGGAAATGTAGCTGTGTGAGCCCTGTGTGCTCTGAGCAACTGCATTAATGGCTCTCTTCTCTCTGTCTGCAGGGGACAACATGTACAGTTGTGAACGGTGTAAGAAGTAAGTTGGCATTATCTGTCTTGTGCTGCTTCTCTGGAGCTTTATTTCTCTGTATTGCTGTCAAATATTTTGCTGTGCCCTCTACTTGGACACCTCTTCTATTGGAATTCAGGATTTGCCTTGGATTCCAAAGAGAGCAAGACCCAGCCTTGCCTTTTGGCACCCCTTTGCTTTAGAGGGTTCTCACAGCTCGTTTTCTTTTCCTCCCTCAGGCTGAGGAATGGAGTGAAGTACTGCAAAGTCCTCCGGCTCCCAGAGGTGAGTGAAGGAACCTTGTTCTCTGCTTCTCTTTTAGCAGCCCTGAGGAGGTGGGGAGGACACAGGTGGAACAAAAACAGCAGTTTGTTTTGATGGCAAAGTCCTGTGTCTGGACCAGATGAGGCTTTGCCATTCTAAGCTGAGGAGCCAGCAGGGTTCACGAGGAACAGGCAGAGAACTCTTGCAAAGATCAGACACACAGAGATGTGCTGTGTGACCAGAATACCCACAGTAACACTGGGCTTTGGTGTCCTCTGTCCTTGGTCTTTCAGATTCTTTGCATCCACCTGAAACGGTTCCGGCATGAGGTGATGTATTCCTTCAAGATCAACAGCCATGTCTCCTTCCCCTTGGAAGGGCTGGATCTGAGACCTTTCCTTGCCAAGGAGTGCGTCTCCCAGATCACCACCTACGACCTCCTGTCAGTCATCTGTCACCACGGCACAGCAGGCAGTAAGTCCTTCTGCTGGGAGGGAGCAGGGGCAGAGGAACAGCAATGGGAGGAGTGTGTTCAGGACTAGCCAACACCTCTGCTGGGCTGAGGGGCAGTCTAGGGCTGGCCCCCTCCATTCCCAGCCTTGTGCAGCCTCTGCCCTTTGAAAGTGAACCAAGCAACTTCTGACAGATCCCCTGCAGCTATTTCAGCCTCGCTATGGGCTTGGCTGAAACCCTTTCCCAGTGTTCAGTCTTGCTGAGAGGCTCTTACAAGGAAGGCAAATCAGGGTGACAGTGCCAGGCTCTGCTGCTCCTGCAGAGCTTGCCTGAACAGGAATTATCCTTTTTTTTTTTTTTTTTTTTTCTTTCTGTGTGTCTGTCTCTCTGCTCTCTGCCAGCAGCTAATCCTGTTTGTGCTGCTGACATTATCCCAGGCCTGCCTTCTGTCTGCACTGTGAATCCCAGCAGGGCTGTGCTCTCTGTTCCAGGTGGCCACTACATTGCCTACTGCCAGAACGTGATCAACGGCCAGTGGTACGAGTTCGACGACCAGTACGTCACCGAGGTGCACGAGACCGTGGTGCAGAATGCAGAAGCCTATGTCCTGTTCTACAGGTGAGCTGAGCCCTGCTTGCAGAAGACCTAGAAATGCGTTTCACAAACGTGAGTTTTCAGGAATTGTTTAATTTTCTTCCCCCACCCCTCTTCAGGAAGAGCAGCGAAGAAGCTGTGCGAGAGCGCCAGAAGGTCGTGTCCCTGGCCAGCATGAAGGAGCACAGCCTGCTCCAGTTCTACATCTCTCGAGAGTGGCTCAATAAATTCAACACCTTTGCAGAGCCTGGGCCCATCACCAACCACACCTTCCTGTGCTCCCATGGAGGTAAGGCTGCTGGGCCTGGGAGCAGCACCTCTGGGCTGTACCTTTGTTTCCTGGTGCATGAATGAGTGCAGGAAAAAGCTCCAGCTGCCACCCTGATACAGGGGATGCTCCAGTGGGATCCTCTTTGGCAGAAACTCCAGCCTGCTCAGGGAGGGATGAGACAATTACCCATTGTGCTGCTGGTTGGAGGCCTGGGGAAACATCAGTTTTCAGTTCTCTGTGTTTAAAAACAAACCTGTAGAAAGCAGATAGGGCAGCATTTATCTGTGTTGCCCTGTCAGCAAGGCTGGCCCTCAGGGTTTGTTTGGAGAGCGGAGCTGATACCATGTCTGATTCTTCTGCTGCTTCATCAGTCATGCTGGGGAGCACTTGAGTTTGTAAATCTCCCACTGGAATTGAAGCACTTGATTAGAAATTGAGGCTGTGAATTGGAAACGTCCACAGCTGATGAACTCCTGTCTGCCTTCTATTAGCAAAGGGAGCAGATTCTGGAATCAAGAGTTTTCAGAAAGGAAAATCTGCCTTTTTATTTGTGTCTGTTTTACACAGCAATGAGTTCCCTGATTAACTCTTCCCCTTGCCTTTCCTCCGCAGGGATCCCTCCTAATAAATACCATTACATCGATGATCTGGTGGTGATTCTGCCCCAAAACGTGTGGGAATATCTCTACAACAGGTGAATATGACCATTTCAATCTTTCTCTCTTGGTAGAGTTTCCTGACTTAAGTCAGAATAAGGTGGATCAGTGCCTGTCCCAGAGCATTGGGTGGTTGAGTAAAGGCAGCTCTGTGCCCTCGGCTGCAGATGCTCCTCCTTCACCAGTGTGTGTAGTAAAAGAATCCATGTCTGTAGGATGCAGGGCTGCTGGGAAGCATTTCCATTCTGCTGCAGCTCCCCATTGCCCTGCCTCTCTCCCTGTGCTCAGGTTTGGGGGGGGCCCTGCTGTGAACCATCTGTACGTGTGCTCCATTTGCCAAGTGGAGATCGAAGCGCTCGCCAAGCGCAGGAGGATCGAAATCGACACCTTCATCAAGGTTGGCATGGGAAGCATCTGGAAGCAAAGCAAAGGGGGGGGTGGGGGTAAAATGGAGACTTGGAAAACTCCTGCCAGTTTTCCAGAACATGATCTACAGCACAGGCAGGAGGTTGGCCTGGGGGTTCCCCAGTGCTGGCAGCACAGGGGAAGGGCAGCTGGGACATGAAATTGCTGTGCACACACGAAGTGTGAAACCATCCTTGTCTCTTGCCTGCTCTGGTGAGCAGGAACAGGATGAGAATGGGGTTCTGCTGGAGAATGGCAGGGCTGCCTTAGAGTTAATGGAAGGGGCCCCCTGAGATCTCAGGAGTGAATAAGTCTTCCCTGCATGTCTCTTGTTCTCTGCTCTCCCAGCTGAACAAGGCTTTCCAGGCAGAGGAGTCTCCAAGTGTCATCTACTGTATCAGCATGCAGTGGTTCCGGGAGTGGGAAGCCTTTGTCAAGGGCAAGGATAACGGTAAGGATCAGAGAGCAGGGGATCTGCCAGGGCTGAGGGCTGGAATGGAAATGGGTCTATTTGTTGGGTCCTGTGTGAGCACTGCCCTGGCTGCAGGGATGAGCTATCAGCCCCCCTGGCTGCCTGCAGGTCCCCAGAAATGACAAGAGAACCATCTCAGGAAAGAAGCTGGATCTGGAGGCAGTGAGGAAAGCGGATGGTTTCTGACATGTCTGTTCTCCCACAGAGCCTCCCGGACCAATCGACAACACCAAGATTGCCCTCACAAAACCAGGAGGCCACGTGCAAGTCAAGCAGGGTAAGGCTTGTGCTTCTGCCTTGTAGTATTCCTGAAGGGGGGGGAGACTGTTCCACTGGATCTGGGGGTCCATAATGAAGCAGTCACAGAGCAAGATGGTGTTGCAGAGAATGACAGTTCTCTGCCCGACCCCAATCTGCCTGCCACTGAGCCACTTCTCCAGTGGCAGCTCCTGCATGGCCAGCTTGCTGTCGTGGCTGGTTCCTGCAGCCCCCCCAGCTCCTGCCTTGCTGCTCCCCAGGCCCCTTCCACCATTCCCCTTCATGTTATACCTTAGATCTTGTGTTGCTTTTGACTTGGTCTTTACTCAGCATCTGCTGTGATGCAGCTTCTGAAGTAAGAACAGCCTCATGTTGTGCCTGAGGAGGTTTAGGTTGGATATTAGGGAAAATTTCTTTATGGAAGAGGTTGTCAAGGTTTGGAATGGTCTGCCCAGGGCAGTGATGGAGCCACCATCCCCAAGGGATTTAGAAGACATCGAGATGTGGTGACTGGGGACGTGGATTAGTGATGGACACGCTGGAGCCCTGATGCTTCCAGGAGGTGGCACTGTGGGGGCTGCAGCTGTACAGGGTCAGGGGGTGGGGGCTTTGGTAGGGACCACCAGTGCCTCCTCTCCCTGGGGTGAGCTGTGCAGGGAGGTGGTTGGAGAGAACATCCTCGCATTGTGGTGCCTCATCTTTTCCCCACTGGATTAGTGCTGTTGTCCCTTCCAGGTGCTGACTACGGGCAGATTTCTGAGGAGACATGGGTCTATTTAAGCACACTGTATGGAGGGGGCCCGGAGATTGCCATCAGACAGAACGTGGCGCAGGTCCAAGAGCTGGAGAACCACCACGGGGAGCAGAAGATCGAAGCGGAGACGCGCGCGGTGTGACCTGGGTGGGCCTGGGGCAGGGAAGGCACAGACACCTCTCTGTGGGGGTGGAGGGCTGGGGAGTCCTGAGGGGTCAAACCTCTTCTTGTCTGGTACTCGAAGGTGTGTGCAGCTCCCCCCAGACTCCTGGGGCAGGCAGGCTTCCTCCTCATCCTTTCAACGTGGCTTTGAGCACAGGGTGGTGCTGGGATGGACTGGGAGAAGGCTCTAACTCACCTCTGGACGAAGCCATGGTACGAGGCTGCAGCCACACACCACGAGGGTTGTCCTGACCTGAGCCCTCCCCCCTTTCCTTTGCTTACAAGAAGCCAGCACTCCCAGCTTGTCCCCAGTGCACCGATCTCTGCTCCTGTGCAGGTTTTGCTTTCGGCACTTTTCTTTTTAACTCAAATGTATGAAGACAATGAAATGTTATTTATGTTTCCAGCAGGCAGTGTTGCTACTAGAGAAACCTGTTGTTTGAGGCTGAGGAAAGCCACGAGGTCTCCCTGGGGTTTTGTGCTGGTGGTGCACAGCTGTCACAACTTCCTAGTTCTGCTCTTTATCGAATTCTTGCGAATTCAGTTGCAACCAACTAAGGAATTTGGAAAGAGGCTGTTCCTTTCTCCTCTCACTCCCAAAACCTCACCCTCACAGTCCTGCAGAATTTTATTTTCTCCTTCTGTCTGATTCCACGTGTTCAGCACAGTTTCAGAGAACAGAGCTGGAAGGTGAGTCCTCCCTCCCAACGCCTTCCTTCCCCCTGCACTCTTCCTGCTGAGGCTCCTGGCACTGTGGAGCTGGGGGCTGGAGCCTTTGGGTGTGCAGCTCACAGGGTGGTACCAGGAAAGCTGGGCTGGACTGGGACACAGCACAGCTCTGATGCAGATTTTGGGACTCCTTGTTCCTAACCCTGCCATAAGCTGTGTCTCCACATCTGTCACGACAAGCAGAGGGGTGGGAAGGATGAGGAAGGGCTCCTGTGTTCACACAGAGCCCACTTCTGAGGGGTCACCCTTAGCTGGGCAGGGCCCAGGCTGGGGAAGCAGCTTTTTAGGAACAAGCTGCTTCCTGCTAACAAGCCCCCACCTGTGTGCTGAGGTCATTCCAGATGTCCTTTGTGTATACAGTGGCTCATTTAATGAATTTGCTCCCCCATCTATGCCACCAGTGCAGCCAAGGAGCAGCTGATGGAGAAAGGAGACAGGAATGAAGGCAAAAAGGCCAAACTCCACTTTTCTCAGCAGGGCTGTTCTTAAAAAGATTTTCATTCATCTGGTAAGGCAGAAAGGCAAGAGTTAAATCTTTGCAAGGCTTTGAGTGAGGTTTAGTGGAGGCAGAGAAGGAAGAGGTGCCTCCCATGGCCTGAGGAACCAAACTGTGTTTTCCTGGTGCTGGATGATTGCACAGCATCCAATCTGGCCTTAATGGTGCCAGACTCCACCTGGGGCTGGGACCTCCCAAGCTCCTCACCTGAAAAAGAGAGGGAGGGAGGGGGAGGGAAAAGCTGCTCCTTGACTTAGAGATAGAAGGGGGTAGGACAGGAGAACTTGAGAAGAAAAATGTGGCCTTCAGATTATTTTTTCCTTTTTTTTTTTTTTTTAATCAAATGTTTGCTGCAAACAGCAGCTCCTTTAAAAACTGTCTGTAAACGGTTCAGCATGTTAGTTTTACAATCCTGTTTATGGGATGCTTGTATAGACCCAGACAGGCCCGAGGGGGAGGTCAGAGAATGAGCCACTGTTGGGATTCTCATTGTTCCAAGCTGTCTTTGTTCCCCACTGCAGCAGCCCTGGGATCTGCTGCAGAGCCTGCAGGGCTGCATGTCCGTGTTGTCCGAGGGTGCTGTACAGACTGTAATGACACTCCTGTGCTTAAGTGTTAGACCTTGTGCTGAAAATGTGGTACAATAAATACCTGTGCATTCAACACGCTGCTGCCCTGCCTGGTGAGGGGGACTGACAGCTCCAGGGAGCGTGGGGGGTGGGGACAGACCTCCCTTCACCTTTCATTTACCCCATTTCACCTGAGTGGGCCTCAGGAAGCACAGATTGGTCACGACATTCATTACTAGTCTGGAAGTAACTCGCAAGGGAAGGAGTTTCATTGAGCTGTTCTAGGATTCTAAAAGAGAGTTTCCTGGCACTGTTTTGTGGCTAAAATGTCCCTGGCTGATACCATTCCCCTTCCTTGGTAACACACACGTCAGCAGCTCTGGCACCAAGGCCCTGGGGAATGCCAGGCTCTCACCCCTGAGGATTAACAGAGTTTCTAAAGCAGCCCGAGGGGCTGCAGGAGCAGGAGTTCCCTGCCCAAGTGGTGAGTGACACATCCTCAGCTGGAGCTGGGTTAACAAGAACATGCAGCTTGTTCTTGAGCAACGAGGAGTCACCTGTCAAAACCTGCATCTCACAACCAAACCTGGCACCGGAGCAGCTGCTGAACAGCTCCTGGAGACACCAAACACCCTCCCACAGAGGGGACTGGTACAGTCCAAACAGCTCTAGGGCTGCTCTGGCACAGCCACAACTGTACTGTGTGTTACCCTCTGCCTGTTCAAGCACCCAAGGGTTAGTTCTGTGTCCAGATTCCATCTGAAATCCCACTGCAGCCTTGCTTTCCTCCAGCTCCACTGGAGAAAGCTTCGGCATTTCTGAGCCTGTCTCAGATGCAGCTCTGGCTCTGGGAGCCGCTGCCAATGCTGAACTCTTACCAGTTCTTTTTGAAATCATCTTCCCCTTATTTGATGAGGTCCCCTGCTGATTGCAAAAAAGGGGAGATGAAAGAACTGCTCATGCATTGGACTGATGGAGCAAATCTCAGATTATCTGCTCCCTCCCTGCAGGCCCCTGGGAGTGCCTGTTCCGTTCAGAGGTGCTGCTCCTCTTCCCCATGGGCAGAACAGAGCTGTGACAGATGATGAACCCTCTGCCCCACACTCCCACCTGTCCTGCCTCAGCCTGTGGGAAGGGGAATTGGCTCTTCCTCTGGAGATGCAGCACCCACATCGCTGCAGTTCCACCTGCTTGAGCTCATGAGGCCACACCTTGCTGGGTGGGACCTCCCCACCCTCCCCCAGGGCCACAGCACACCCTCCCAGTGCACACCCAGCCCCTGCACACCCCACATCAGTGACAGCCCAGACACAAACAGCTCATTTTATTTTCTTCTCCCTTATTGCTCAGCTTGGCTTCCACCCCCCCATCCCTCACTCACCCCTTTGGTAGTGCTGTTTCTATTTCAAGTCAGCAATGCTGATTCTGTGAGAGATAAATCCAAGCCAGAACCAGAGGGACATCCCCTCCTATTCATTATTGCCCAAAACCACACAGACCAGCAGCCTGTCACAAACAGCCCCGATTTGTCCTGATCTGACAAGGGTGTTAATTAGTGCTGGCAAAGAACAACTGAAATCCTGCTAAAGAAAAAAGAGAAAAAAATAAAAAGAAGAAAAGAGGCAGTTTAAGCAACTTTTTACCTTAGAAAAACCAAATAATCTGCAGATTATTACTCAGATAAAATGACCAGCCAGGTGTCACCTGCTGAGTGGGACAACCACAAATCCTGGTGGCCCCTGAACTGGACAAAGCAGGAAAAAGCACAAACCACCTGCCCTTCCCAACACCAGCTCCAGCCACAATGTTTTTCTCCTCAGATGACCAATTAAAAAAACAACCCAACCACTGCATTCTCTCCTCAGTGCAGCTGGAAAGGTAAAAGTTTGATATCATTGTCTCAAAGTGCCCTGACATGAACTGGCTCTGTGGGACGGTCAGAGCCAAATTAATACTTCAAATGCCTGAAAATTCCAGTAAGAAACAATAAGAAATTAAAAGAAAAACCAAACAAACCCAAATCTAGTTGATCAAAAGGCTCCAGTGAAACTGTATTTCTGGAATTAAATGTTTATTTAAATATGCAGATGACTCTGTTTCATTGCTACAAGGTCAATATTCGCTTTCAAATGGAAGCACTTTATTTGGTTGAATTCTGTCTCCAGAAATGAATGGGCAACACCAGAACCTTTTACACTGGCAATGAAATCACAACACTGAGATGCCACCGAAGTCTCGAGATCAGTGCTCAAACACACATACACACACATATACAAATAAAAAAGTGCTCGACATCATCATGTTAAAATAGAATTTTGGCTTCTTTTAGGTCTTTTGACATTTCAGGCAGGAAAACAAAAACCAAAGAACAATATGCATCAAACTAAATGAACTTCTGAAAAATACTCAGCATTAAACACAACTTTTGAGTATCAGTAAATATGTTTCTTCTCTATTTACAGGTGTTAAGAAAGGGCATTAGAGACTTTTGCTGGGGGGTCATGAGATATCATAGATGTACAGTCCACGCTGCTGGGCAAGATTAGTAAATTCAAGCAGAGTTTTTATAAACCAGTCACATCTTCAGTTCTTCAGCATTTGCCAAAGGTAAATTCTACAAAAATTCCTCGTTCATTACCCTGGATAAGGGCAGCGGAATAAACGTGGAGGCTACGACACAGGACTGTCACTATTTTTGAAATAACTTTTTAAGACCCAGGCTTTTGGGAACTAGTTGCCAAGTTTATAAAAACTCCATTCGTGGTCTTTCCATAAAACTTTGGGAGTCAATCAGTCAGCTAAAGCTAATGCTCCTTCTACAGCACAATTGAGCAACACAGACATTGCAATTGTTCCAATGTTCCACAGAGGCTGACAATAATATACTGTCCACCCAGATTAAATATAGAAAAGCAAACTTTGATCTAATTTTTACATAGATGGCACAACAACAGGTGAAAATGAATTCTTAGCTGCTGATTTCAACAGTGCATTGGACACGAGAATAAAAATACTGCAGCTAAAAATATTTTAAGGATATTTTCGCACCCCCCCCAACCCCGCCCCGTTACCTGCTCAACCCTTTAGATCCCCCGAGGGGGATGCCACAAAGCCTTTGCACAAAGCCACAGGTGCCAGCTGGGCATCCCCCTTGGAGTCCCATGGATCTGAACAGCTCAGTGACCACAGCAGCAGCAATGACAAGGATGTGGTTTAATGGATTATGACCCTCTGATGCCGCAGCAGAACGGCCTCAGGATCGGTGTTCCCTGCGCTCAGCACAGGCTCCAGAGCCACTTGGGTTGGGTTTAAAACACAAACCTCCTGCTGGTTGATGCTGGCAGATATTAAGCACCATCACTGCAACAGCTACAGGATGAACTGTGGCACCGAGGGACTTTGTGCTAGTGAAAATAAAAATCGGTGTCTTGAACGGAGAGAAAGAGGCAGAGTTATGAACACAACACATAACCCAACTGAAAAATGACTTCCTCCTGCAGGGGAAGGGCCCAGGCCATCCCCAGCATGGAGAGTCTGTGATGTTGGGATGTGTTTCCATGTGCTGACCCTACACAACAGCACAGCAGGCAGCAAAACAACACTCACCTGTCTGCAAACTAACCCTGAGAGGTTTCATTTTAGGGTCACTGCCCGGAGTGAGCTTTGACATAAACTTTCTCAGAATCTGGGGATTGTACAGAATATGCTGAAGTTGGGTTGGAGCCAGGAGATCCCCCCCAAAAGATGTGTTGATCTATGAATAAATTCAGCCCTCAGGAGCTATTTGGTGACAACTGACTCTTGCAGGGCTCAAACTTGTCCAAGATGACTAAAACCCAAGCCATGGTAATGACTGAGAGGAAACCAAGTTAGAACACAGAAGTTTAGAGAGCAATTGACCCTTTCATAGGCAGTTGAGGTCCAGACCTTGTGATATTTGGAGATGTTGTAGCTCTCTCTCCCCACTGCGTGATGTGACAGAGTGCAGCATCACTCATCATCCTACTTCTGCTTCAAACCAAACCATGTGAGAACAGGGTGGTCACAATTCCTGTCTGGCTGCTGGGTCCAGGTCCAGTCCATGGCAAGGTGGGAGAAGGAAATAGTGCGATTTCTTTTTTTTTAATTTTTTCTCCTCCCCCCCCTTTTATTTATCTAAAAAACCTCTGTTATTCAAACATTAACTGATGAGAACGCACAGGAGGTCATGCAAAAAAAAAAACAAAACAAAAAAAAAAAAGAGAAGGCAGGTCTGAAATGCTGAAAAACAAACCAACAAAAAAAAAAAGAAAACTGCAAAGAGATTAACCACGAGCCACAAAATAACGTGACCCTGAGGAAGGTGGGCGCAGGCAAGGCAACAGGGCGAGCATGCAGGCTGAAACGAGAGCCAAACAGGGCCTGTGACCAGCAAAATGGGGCTTCAAACCAAAATGCCACTGTCTGTGTGTGTCTGTGTGTGTGTGAGGAAGAGGAGGGAGAGAGGAGGGTGGATCAAGAGGGAGGGTGCAGGGAGAACGAGCAGGAAAAGCAGCAAAAGCAGCATACACACATGAGCTCAAAGGGTTTCAGGAAACAGCAAGGCCATGGGGGTTTAATACTTGGGATGAGCATCAGCCTGTATTTAAAAAAAAAAAAAAAAAAAAATTAAGGCTGACAAGTATTAGTGACCTTTTGGGGAAAGCAGAATATTGAATGATGCACAGGGATCAAATTTAATATCTGCAAATTCAGAGCCCAGTCCAACTGCTGTAACACTGTGCCCAGGGGAGGTTTCCCACCTCCCTTCCACGCTCTCTGATGAGAATTCCTGCAGGATTAGCACTAAAGGCACCGTGTGAAACGCTGATGGACCAGTGTGTACATTCAGATGGACTGAGGGACGAAGGGACAGAAGACAGACCAGCACATGCTTGGGACTCTCCAGCTGCCCTCTGCATCCAAGGGCAGCCAGCAGTTCCCTGACAGAAGGTGGGGGGAAGTGGGTGGGGGAGAAAGTGTGGGTTGTGTTTGACAGAGGGGCTGTGCCAAGCTGGCAGAAGAGGGGGAAAGGCTGATAAGGTAATCCGAGCCACAAGTAGCATGCCATGGAAAAGAGCAAGCGTCTTGAATGGGACTGGGATGGAATTTAGATCTGAATTTTTCAAGTGGGAACTCCAGACTAGACTGGGAGTCTGGCTTTCCATGGGTGTGTTTTAACTGCCTGCAGGGTAAACAGACCATTTTGTTTCTCCTTCTGTGACAAGCTCGCCCCGAGGTTCTTGCACCAGCACAAACACCTTTAGGAATCTAAAACATAAGAAAGACAAAAAGAAAGAGACCGGATTAGAAAGAAGTTGGGGAAAATGGGATCCCTTAAGAGCAGCACTGCCTGCAGGAGGTTAAAGGAAATAGAGCATCAAGCATCTACTGGGTTACAGGGGGTTAAGGAAGGTTCCCAAAAAACAGCAATTCCTTCACCCTCAGCCCTCTCCTCCAGCCTGGGGATGAGCATCACTGGGACCCTGCTCTCCTCCTCAGGAGCACGACCCTGCCAGCACCTACTTCGTGCCACAGAGAAAACAAACAGCTTTACAGTTCTCAGTCTGCAAAGCAGCACTGCATCTGTTCCAGTGACAGCTCCAGAGACCATCAGTGCTACCAAACAACAGCAAAGTAAAACGTAAGGACTCTGCAGAACAATCCAGAGCTCTCCTTTCCACCTCAGGCTGCAGAGACCTTTCCCTGCCAAGGGAAGCCCAGGAATACACAGGTCAGTGGCCCAGCCTAAGCCTCCAAACCCCTCCTCTGTCCATCCCTGTTCCCACAGTCTGCTGGCTGAGGACAAGTTTTTCCTCTGGCCAAGTGAAGCCACAATCCAGGAGTGTGATTTGGCCCAAACTGCTGTATCCAAGGGAATACAGGATGAGTCCAAACTTCCTTCATGTTTCAGAGAGCACCCACTTCCATAAAAACCCTCCAAATGACAGCACAAAAGAGTTTTTCAAAGAGCCACAACAAAATATTTTTCCTGAACAGGAATTGCATTGGTACTTAGTGTGGGAAGGAGCTCTGGGCCATTTGCTCTCCCTTAGTAAAGTTAAACTTCAGTAGTTTTTGCCACTAATTAATCACCACTTACTAGTAATTGGCATTTAAAAAAACCCCAAAAAAACAAAACCTCATAGGAATGAGAAAATATAATGTTTATTAGAAGAAGACACCATGGTACATCAAGCTACAAGGAGATTCCTGACAGATGATGATTCTTCAAAAAATAAGAAAGGAAAAGAGACAACCACACTGGCCAGATTTAACAAACCTTAACACACACAACAGCAGTTTCTATGTGACTCCAACCAGGTGCAGGCAGCTGAGTAACCAAAAAAACACTTTTCCACATAAGAGGGACCAAGTAGTTACCAAAACAACAGCTGGGTTAAGCAGAAGGACAGCCTATAAAACCATTTATATTTATACACATATAAAAGGATAAAAACAATTCAAATTCAAGTAACTTTAGTTTTTAAGTTATGTTATATACATTATTTTTTTTTTTATACTGGGAGAACTAAGGGCACGTATTTAACAAAGGGATTTTAAAAAGCCACAGTCCAGTTTATAATTACTGATTCCTAAATGATTTGGCAAGCATTAAATAATCAGATATATCCTAGATAAAAAGTGCATCAGCGTGGTTAACTTTCACCTATTTATTTATATAAGTCAAGGCTCTGCCTGATGGTTACAGCAAACAGCAGAGCTGCAGCACTGGGAATCCCACGAGGATTTATTGATATCAGAGGTGAGGGGGAACAGACTCACAGCGGCCGAGGAGCCAAGATGCTCATCAGCCCAAAAATAGTTTCTGTCAAGAAGTTTAACTTCACAAACCAGCCCTTATTCCTTGCATGGCACCCAAACATCCAGGCTTTCTGCTGGAAAGGGGAACGTGGCATTTTTGTGGGGTGCGACGCAGAGTTTACACAAAGCTGGTTATTCCACGCAGGGTTTGTTTTTTTTTGTGTATCACACAATTTCACAACATCCCTCAGTGAAAGACAGTTTTGTTCCCAAGAAGATGATGAGGTACCATAGCCAGTGACACAGGATGGTCGGTCTTGAGTGACCAGTCCCTGTATTTGACAGTTCTCAGCACCAGACACCCGACGGGTACAGAAAAGCCCTGCAAGATGCTACACCCACATGTGTGTGCACAGCACAGTTTCCTGCGTGAATCCCAAGGAGAATGAACCCTGCACAGCTCTCATTTCTACCAGGAAGGACCAAAAAAAAAAATGCTGTTTGCTCTAAGTGGACAGTTGGGTCAGCGCTTTCCTCGGCAAGTGCTGAGCACTGAAATTTCGGAGGCGACCTGAACATGCATCGGCTGAGTGAGTGGTACCTAACAGAGTCTTTCAGTGATGGAGATGGGACATGTGCTTTCATCTCTTCTAAAGAAAACCTTCTCAAACACAGCTCTTAAAACAACCGTAGCAGCAAACCAGGAGAATAAAGGGTGGACAGGCCTATGCAAACCTACTCAGAGATTTTCTGAAGTGGTTTGTACACATCTGGAAAAAAAAAAAAAAAAAGGCAAAAGAAGATAGATATTACTGTTCTTTTTGTGACTGGGTCTGCCAGCACCCTCTGTTAATGTCACCAACAGCCCTCACACAGGTATTTGCAGGGACACACAGACCCAGTTGGGCTTCTTGAAGGCTGTGATCAGGAGGGCACCTGCAGCAATGACTTACCTGTCCTACTCAGCCCAGTTCTGCAGCAGAGCCCTGACAGCACAGGCCTCAGCTGACTGAAAAAGCAGCTTTTCATAAAGCTTTAGCAGTGGGATTTCTCAGGCAGAGCTGCCTCTGGCTCACAGCACAGCAACAACCTGGCTGGGCAGGTACTCCTGAGCCAGGGCTTATTCTGCTGCCTGGGGCAGTCACAGCTGCACTCAGAGCTGCTGGGAGCTCCCACCCTTCTGCAGCCAACCTTTAGCAGCACCAGCTGCTCAAGCTTCTCTCCAAAAAAAAGAGGAAGGGATTACTGAAGTTTGCAAATGCTTTAGCATTTACAGTGTTATTTTCTGGAATGTCATCACCTCCATTTCAAGGACTGAATCAAGTCACTTCTACCAATACATTAAAAATCAAATGAGAAACTTGCAGCTTGCAACAAACTTTGTCTTTTAAACACAGTAGCAATTCCCCCAAATCTTTATGCTGAACTCTATGAAAAAGTTCTCTTTTAGCTTTTAAGCAGACAATTGAGAAATAAAAGAGGTAACCATTACAGTTCCTATATATTAGATATTCACAGATACATTTGATTTTGTTCCTGAAGTCCAGCAAAAGTAATGGAAAAACTTAAAATTATCCAGGAAACCTCCATCATGGCTACAGAAGTGGCTGCAGCTGTCTCAGCCTTCATCCCCAGCATTGACTGCATTTTCAGTCTAGTGGAAGCTTTTTGCACCCCTCTGCAACAAAACTGACCCTGTGTTTGCCAACACAAACAGAAAACTCCTGTGTTATGGCAAAATAAAACAAGGCCCAGATTTTCACCTGCAGCAGACAAGGCACTGCACTGATTAACACTGAATCCAACACTGTGAACTGCTCACTTTATAGTGTTGATTTACACACAGTTCCACTCCTCTCTTCCCACTGTCCATAAATCCCAGTGAAAATGGTTCAGTGTTGTTTTGGCTTGGATGAGGCAGCTTGTTTCACACCAAGAACTCTAGGGTCTAGGAAACACAACAATAATCTGAAGGTTTAAGTGACTGAATAAACACAAATTATTGAACAGGGAAGTTCTAACACATCCTGATTTCAAACAGGACTAAAATCATTTGATTTCTCGGTGTATCCCATTACCAGGTGTTCAGTGCTGGCATTTATTGCAGCCAGGACTGCCCTGCAGCACTGCTTCCTTTCTCAACACACCTATTTGGGAGGAATTAAAAGCAACAAACAGCAGCTTGTGGAGTCCAAACTCTGAATGTCTGCATTGATCTTGCGTGAGCAAAAGATCAAACCATTAGTTATGGTCCTCTGAAACAGCAAATACACCTGAAATGTAGCAAGGTGGGAAAGAACAGAAGGGCTTTCTTAATGTTTTACCCATTTGTCAAGGACCACAGAGGTTTTGGCAAGATCTCTCCTTCCCCTACCTCACACACTAAGTGATGACCAGGTTCCAATCCAGAAGGTCCCCAGGACAGGCTCTGAAAAGCTCCCACACAGACACAAACCAGCAGTCTAAATATTTCCTATATAAAGTTCCACTGAACGAGTTTGGGACAACAAACAGCTGACTCGTGAACGTGTCTGAGATGCCACCTGGATATCTGAGGAGAGCCTGCATTATCCCAAATGGCTTTGTGCTTCCTGCACTAAGGTGGGCGTGCAATGGCACTGACAGTTGAGCAAACACTGTCCAGGAAAGGCTGCATTTCCCCTCTGGTTTCACAGCCCCCCACACTACCCTTCTCTGAGCAATAAAAGCACGTTTTGCAGTACAGCAAGCCATAATTAGTCCACGTATGGAATAATGCACTTGGTGGCGTTGTACAGACTTTTAAAAGGCTGTGTATCTGCAACACAGAGCAGCTTCAGGGTCGGATTAACCTCTGTGAAAGCAAACAAAATAAAAATAATAGTATTAAATATAGGTCATAGCACCTTTGGCATTTTTGTCCAAATAGACTTCAACATAAGACGTGGGGACATAGCCCTCCTCATCTTCGTTCCTTCGGATCCGCGTCCACCCGTCACCTTTGTCCTCCTCTATTACATAGAGCATCTCTCCTTCTGCTACAGAAATTGTTCCTTCATTCTGACCTGAAAGACACAGTAACAGGGATTAATTTAGGGTGTCCTGCACAGTGGGAACCAGAAGCAGTTTGGGGTGACGACGTGTGGACACACCCTTCGTGGCGAAACAGGAGTGTGGGATTCTGGGGTGAACACAAAAACCAGGCAAAGGTAATCCTGACACCAGAGTTTTGGTTCTTCTTGCTAAGTCCCTGTGTGACAGGAGACAAATCACTTAGTGCAAACAGAACCACACCAGAGCCTCATTTGCCCTTTGGCTGTTTGCACTGCAGGGCTTAAAATGAAGGTTTCCCACTTGTTCTTGGTGTATGAATTAGAAATAAAACAGTCAGCGAAACGAAGGTAAAGTTGGAGTGATACCTTCAAATGTATAGAGCGCTTTACACGTTCCTATGGTGGGTAGTGGTTCTTCATCATCAAACTCATCGTCAAAGTCCGTTGCAGGTACTTTCATCTCAGTCTCCTGACTCTGCTCCTCTGTGTAACTGCCATCCGGGCTGCTCAAGAGAGGAAAAACAGAGCAACTATAGCGACCAACCTCGGGAGCAGAGAGAGCCACTCGGTTACCAGGCACGTCAGGCACGGGGAGCAACTGCGGCTGGAGCAGCTCAGCGATCCCAAAGCATGGTCTGAACTGGCTGTGACACCAGATGGGTTCAGACACATCACTTTTACCACCAAAAGCTGTAAAAAACGCCTCGTCTCGCTCGCCTTCGCAGCAGTGAGCGTGGGGGATATCACCCAGTTCAGACACACATTTGGGATCGCAGCTCTTGGAGTTGGGATACGATAAAACAAGGATGTAAAACACATCCGAGTGCCTGCGACAGAATGGGTTTCTGAGCACTGCAGAGCTGCAGTTCTGCTGATCCATAAGCTGCCCACCCTGCCCAGATACTGTACCTCTCCCTGTCCTGGGCACAGCTGTTCACTGCTGACGGGTTCTGGGGCTCGTACATCCCACTCTGGCGCCGGGGCTGCTCGTTCCGCGCGGGCAGCCGGCCCTCCACCTCCGCCAGCCAGCCCTGCCGGGGAGAGACAGCCCTTCAGCTCTGCTGGCACTCACAGCACAGAACCAAAACGCTGTTTGGACACATATTCACATTGCCTTAACTGTTTCTTGACACCAGGTGTGAAAACACCATAAGCCAAGGGAATCAGTTGACAGCAGCTGCCAGGAGATGCTGCTGCTCCAGTCACTATCAAGCAAAAAGAAGTGTGGCAGCTTTGAGTAATCTCTATAACACCAGAGATTCAGCAACCTCTGGGAGTGCTGAATGCCCAAGAAGCAAAGCTGAGGAGAATCAAAGAGCCACTGATTTCAAACGAGGGAGAGCAGCGGGTAGTAAAGCCACAACTGTAAGAAACATCAAAAATTAATGGGCTGTATCTGTTTATGTACCAAGTGTAATGTAAAGAGTGAAGTCTTCTCAGCCCTATAATCCTTCTCATGTAATTATAATGGGCTTCATATATTTCAAAAACTCCCATTCAGCTCTTGAGATTTTATATCACTAAGGAGGTTTCCTGTTCATGGCAGACTATTCCTTAAAACATATTTCATCTGATGGTTTCCATCTTGCTGTTAAGTCTCTAACTGGTGCTTTGCATTTGTGTCACTCTGATTTTCCACAGACGTCTGTAACATGATGCTTCAATTTATTTAATTAATTAAATAAGCATCTGAACCCCTCTGGGCAGTCCTGAGAGCACTACATTTTCTTTTCACCTCCAGTTAGCACAGTCTGTTTTCTGTGGCAAATTAAGCTGGGGGCTGACAGTCACAGGAGATGGTGCATGTTTATGTTATACAAATCAGATCAAAGATCCTCATTAATGCAAGTGCTCAAGTAGCACTTCCTCACATCCAGCAAGAAGGTGCATCAATACACCTGGAAAAGCCAGAGCTGAGCACTTGCTGAGCTGCTTTTTACCAAAGTGTCTCTTCTCATACCTCAAACTTCTGAACTTCTAATCGTAACTTCTCAATGTTCTGTGCAAGCTCTGATAATCTGTGGTCCACACTCGCTGCATCTCCCATCTGGGGGTTCTTGATATACACATCTTTCATCTTCGTTAAGGCATCTCTGAGAGGCAGAAGAAAAATAAAACGTGTTAGTGCAGCTGGGGGCAAATGGAAGGATAACAAACTGCCTCTTCTTCACTCTGGGGTTCAACCTAAGCTGTTACAAAGGGACCTGAGAACATACAAATGGGGCTTTTGCCATTAAAAAACCCCATAACAGTAAAATCACTTGGCAGAAGAGAATTTACACTATCAGAGATGAAAAACAGTGATTTACTTACAATGTGAGATCATCTTTGGTATTGATTTTTAGCCTATTATTGTTGTACTACAATATCTACTTGCTAACCCCAGGGAAAACAATGATTAAAAAAAAACAAACCAAAAAAACTCACAACCATTGCAATGAATGACAGCTCCAAACTTTCTAAATTAATATCATTCCAGATCTTGGGGCAGAGACAAACAGTTGCATCATTATTATCTATCATGGACTGACCTCCAGTTGAGAAACTGGGACAAAGATGTATACATGGATGTATCAGTATTAGAAATGGGAGTGCAAACCAGAAATTCTCACCCTGCCTGTTGCAGTCTGTCTTTAGCAACCCCAATAATTTGTAGGATATTTATTTATTTCACGCCGCTTAACACAAAGCTGAGTCCAGATGGTTTGTGTTTGTCACAGCGCAGCGACAGACGGACTTCAGGCTCGAAAACTCAACCCTGCATCCTGCTAAGTCACAGGGTACCTTCCCTCGGCTCCTTCTGGGGGCTGTTTCTTATCAGCCCCAGTGCCAAGAGCCCAGGGTTTCTGAGATGGTAATTTTCAGTCCTGCTATGATGGATTTGGTGCCATAAAACCAGGATTGATGCAGGACATGCCTTGATGAGCTCCCTCGGTGCCTGCAGAGCTCGCACTGACAGCAGCGAGCTCCCTCTGACCTGAGTCACACTGAGGCTCAGCTCACAGAAGAGTTATCTGCCTGATGATGGACATTTCAGAGCTGAGAGAAAGATGGAATTATGAGCTGATTTCCTGTATTCCTAGTGCAACTGATTCAGTTTTTCTCTAGGCATTAGCTGGGGGGAGAAAGGTTAATGCGAGTCCCACGACTCGAGTTAACACTCTTTATATTTTAGAGTTTCCCACCAAACTCTTGACAATTGCAATCCTGTGCCTGGCTTTGCTTTGTGTGTGTGGAAACTGGGAAAAAGTGTGGGTGGCAAGGAAGTGGGACTGCTCTGTGCTTGAAGCCTTAAGGGACAATGTTGCAAACATATGAGTCACAATTATTACTATTTGTTTAACTCTTATTTCACTGATGGTGCTATTTCTTCAGTCATAAACTAGACTTTATTTAAACTAACACTCTGCTCTGATTCCATATCTGATTTTAATGTTGGGATCAATAGAGAGCAGGAAAAAATTCTATATGGACAATTTGAAGTTACCACAGAGGAATAAACCAAAGTAATGAGAAATCATATAACCACATGCAGTGTTCTTTTCCTAGTCATGATATAAAATACAAAGAAGAATTTTTGGGTTAGTAGGCAAAATAAACAGGTTCTTGAAAGCAAGATAACAGGACAACTGTACAAATGCAAAGCAGTATTTAGGGATAGACTAGTCTTGAAATCCTTCAGGGAAGAAAAGTTCCTTCTCTTGCAAACAAAACATGCTGAATCTTTAATGCAACTGCAGAATGTGAACAAACACAGAGTACAAACACAGGCTGCCAGAATCAATTAAAAGTGGGTAACTAAAATAGCCTTATTCTCAACCAGAATGTTAAATGCAGCCTTGTAGAAAAAGCATTCACAAAAGCACAGGAGTCATTATCTTCCCGCTTCCAGGAAATCTAAGCTACAGAGAGACTTGAGGCAACACCAAAGAATCAGCACTTTGGATGATGTTATAATGCTGGAACAGCCTCTCTGGTTGGGATCTACCTTGCCATTTTTCATTGGAGAGGTTTGACTCACCTTTGATCCAACTCCTTCTGAATGTCCTTGTTTAGTTCGTCCACCTTTTGCTGAAGCTTCTTTCTTCTTTGCTCAGGTGGGAGATTGCTGAAGTCTTCGGGCCCTGCTCCCTGCACAGAGTGGAATGGAGGGGGGGGGGGCATAAGGAAAAAAATTAATAATCAGAGTCTGAAAGAATCCTTTGGGATTGCATTTTGAAAACAGCTCACAAAAACCTGTGCAAAAATCACAATGGTCTGAAGCATTGTTACCATTTGTACTGTGTTATCAGTCCCTGAATGGTCAGGAACCTGGATGCCCTAGAAATGATCCCAGGACCACATCCTGCTTCCATAACAGTGGTTAATCAACTGGAGAATTCCAGAATTCAACAGTAAAGCAGAGGAACTATTTTTATCTACAGTTATCATCAGATTTTATTTAACACAGTTCCCTTCTCATGGAAAGCTGATCTTCCCTGCCTTCCTACACTCTGCTACAGAGAGCATTCCCATAAAAGCAGTTCCTGGCTTTTACTCCTGTGTCACAGTCACATTTCTCCTGTGCACCACTGCTGACTGAGTGCTGCTCCAACACAGTTAATTTTTGTCAGGGCTCTCCTGAACACACCAAGATAACAGAAGTACTTCCCACTGGATTCTGCAATTTAAAAACATGCTGCTTACTTTCCAGGATCCACCTTCCATGCCAAAGTCTCTCAGTTTTTCCTCTCTCCCTTGTACTAGCATAAAAATCAGGAGTTATATCAAAGCCATAGAACCAATCAATTTGAAATCACAACTGAAGGAAAAAAAACATGAAGACCACAGTGTTACCTTTGCGTGATTCTGCTTGAAAATCCCTTTTCTGCCTTCCAACTGCTATGTCTCCTCTTGATTGCCTCAATTTGACATAGCAGATAGATGACACATAAAATACATCCACACTATTTTCTTCACAGTCACACCTATTTTTCTCTTGCCAGAAGGCAAAAGGGACAGTTTGGGTGGGCTACATGGAACACACATCAATACTAATTAAGTTGCACCATAAGGGACTGAGGTTCTTATACATAATCTTGAATTTGGACAGGTTTTACTTGTTTGGGTTTCTGCTCATTCCATGTCCCATTTCTAAGGGGGAATGCTGGCTTGTGGGAGAAGGAAGGGTAAAAATCACAAAGCTGAGTGACCAAATTCAGTGGTTCACCAACTTGTGAGCAGGCTTGGGACATCAGTCTTACTAAACAACCAAATTTCTCTCTGAGGAGTGTGATTTAGTGGACACACTGCCACAAAAACTGCCCATTAGACTCTTGGCTCTGCACTGAATGTGCTGAGACACCACACTCTTTCTTCTGCAGCCGCAGAACAAGCTGTTCAGAAAGAAAGTGTGTGGGTGTCAGAGGGCTGGAGGACAGCAGCAGGCAGGTCACCTTCTCCTCTGGACTGGCCATTCCAGAACAACAGAACTGGCCTGATGAAACTGCTGCTGCACTGATTGTCAAAGACAGCACATCTGTCTCATTAAGCCTTGATCATCTGTAATAATATCTAAAATTCCACTCATGAGACAATGAGAAAGCAAATTTGAGGCAAATGACTGAAAAATTTACGCTGATTCCTAAACTTTACCACATGGAGTCCCAGCAGTGCTTACATTACTTGTTAAGATTGATAGAGGAGAGATCTATCTTAATTTTTTTATTTAATGTTAATATTTTGCTTGACAGTAATTCCCACATCACATTAGATGTGAGAGTGATTCAATCTGTTTTATGGATAATCTACACTGAAGCCATAGACATCTTTTTAAGGCAGCTTTGTAAACAAACAAGCAGTTATAGGAAAGACTAGATGACATATTCTGACTCCTCAGTTCTAAGCAGAAGAGTCAGATACTCTTGAAAATATCCCCAGTTGCACATTAGGGGAACGCAACAGATGTAGTCAAGCAAATCTGGAAAAGCACCTTCTTTTTGATATCTTGTTTTTGATTCTTGAACTTCATTCAAAAGCTCTAGGCTGGACTAAATCCAGTAGCTTTGTTCCCAATGCTTCAGACCAAAGCACGAGTGTTCCACGGAGCTGCACACCTGAGACTGGGAGTTGGATCCCACTCTGACTTTATTCCGTGCTCAGTGATTTCCATCAGAAGCTGCAGTTCCTGCCCCAAAAGGGAGAGTTCAAGGAGCAGTTTTTGCACATGCTGGGCACATTTCATGCTCTGAAGCGAAAACAGACCTGGGCTATCTCTCAGGTTGTGGATGCTAAAAATGCTGCAGCAGTGAGGTGGAGGGCAAAGCTGTGCTGATTATGATGTGCAGTCACAGGACCAGCAGAGTTGGAGCTCACAAGGCTTCCTTGCATAAAGATACTGGGATTTAGGACGCAAACTGTCCCAACATGAAGGACTGTGAAAAAGGAGGCCACGTTAGGACCAAGAGGAGATTGCAAGCCACTTTCCTCCACCTGAGGGGCACATGGGTCTCAGCCCTCTCTGCACATCTTTCCAATTTGTGCCATTCTTGGGGAAAGGCCAGGTCAGTCATTTGGGGAGGTTTTATTCCTACAGAGGCTTAGCTCAGCTACACAACACACTGTGACCAGGAAAATGAGTGGAAATCCATGGTATAAACACATTGGACTCCCAGGACAGTGGCTTGGAACAGCCAAAAGAAGATTTGCAAGTATCCCAGATACTTCCATCATTCCTCAGACCTACCATAGGTCTTCAGGGAGAAGCAACATTGCTAAAGGAGCCCAAGCAAGTCATTGTGCTGCCAGAGCAGCAGCAGGGCCAGAAACTTCCAAAGCCACTCCAGGCAGCTCATGGCCCACGTGTTTCCTCTGGATGAGCTGCCACGAGCAGAACAGGCCCACAGTGACGTACCCAAGAACAAGACAGATGTAGAGTCAAGGAATGGTTTGAGTTGGAAGGGACCTTAAGCCTCATCTCATTCCAACTCCCCTGCCATGGGCAGGGACACCTTCCACTATCTCAGCTTGCTCCAAGCCCCATCCAAGCTGGCCTTGGACACTTCCAGGGATGGGGCAGCCACAGCTTCTCTGCCCAACCTGTGCCAGGGCCTGCACCACCCTCACAGGGAAGGGAAAGAGCACCCAAAGGAGCTAACTGGTGAGGAATAAGAGAACTTTGAAGCTAATGCAGTACAGGTGCTCCTGTGGATCCCGAGGCTCTCCAAAACTGCCATCAGTCACTGTGGCTCTCACATGCTTGTACAAGGTGGGTCAGCAAACCAGTTGCATTCTCCTTGTGACAGAGCTCTCCAAGGGAAAGGAATGTAGACAAGCTGTCAGGAATATATCAAGGTGTGGAGTGTCTCAAGCAAAACAGTACCTTGTGTATGAAATTCAGCACGTAATTTGCTTTCCCAGGCCTGTTCACCCCTTCCCTTTCCAACTCAGTAACATCTTATCTTACCATAGTTCAAGAAACCTTTCCAGCTGCATCCAAGGTGGAATTTAGGATTCACATATATGCATCTCTCTCCATTTGCGAATTCAAATCAGATTGAGTTAACCTTGTTGGTTAAGGTTTACAGGATTTTAATTAATATCATTATTGGTTATTCTGAAGGACTACATAGGGCTGTAAAATGTAGGTGATAATGGTGCAGATTTCCAGTAATACCTGGACATGGAAAACAAACTTTGTAGCTACTTTACACAGAAAGACATGCACTGCTCTCTGGAAAAGGTCCAGTAAGCTCAGAGACCTTTATTTTTACTTTTTTCCCCTTCTTTTAATGTTTTAATGTATTCTTATACAGTAGCAGAATTAGTCAATAGTGCTTTTCTACATTTTCATAGCCCTGGATTATAAAAGTGAAAACTAAACTATTTATTAGAGTTAATTTTTAGCAGCTTATTAGAAGACTGAATTCTGATCACCTCTATTAGACTCCAGACCTGTGTATTCAGAGTTATCTGATAAATGCCAAAAAAAGCAAACACAAAGAAGAAACAAATTTAACAGTTAATTTCAGTGTCATGTCACGTGTGGCACAGTGCACATTCAAACACACACAGGAAATTGTGATTATAACACAGGACAGGCATGCTGTAAATGTGCTTACCAGCTTGAGAGAAAGCTTCATGTAAAATTGGAGAGATACAGGGTGGGGGGGGGGAGAGAGAGAAAAAAACAACAGTGCATCAGTAGAAGAGGAACTTTTTCAAACTGATCTTACATTAAAATGACACATAATCCCCTTGCTGTTGGAAGGCAAAATGGGTAACACTAAGAGATCTGTGCAAAAGTTCACAAGATGGGCTCGGGCAGCTGCCATTTCCTCACCAGGAACAGGAATGGGAAGTGCTGTGCCTGGACACAGGTGCTTTGGCACTGGACTGACTGACAGCGGCTGCAACAACAACAGTGGGCTTTTCTCCTCAGAGTGACATCACTGATGTGGTCAAAAACCAGAGCTTGCAAATGCATGTGGGTCACTTTAGATCAAAATCGCCCTCAAATGCATCAGCCACTTCACAGGAGGGCTTTAGAGAGGGGGTGACACCTGAGTCAAACCTCGGTGGGGAGGTGAGGAACGGCACTGGCTCCAGCAGCACGATGGGATCTCCAGGGAATGCCCAGCTCTCTGGCTATGGCCAGAGGACAACACCCCTGAAACGTCCCTGCTGGCTGAACAGCGCTGTCTGGGCAGGCATGGAAAGTCATTTCACATTCTTCAACAATTCAAAAAACAAATACTCAGACTCAAACGTACTTCGGCCATGGTCGGACAAGGTCAGGCCCAAGGAGGAGGAAAAAACCCAATCTATTCTCTTGACACCAATTTGATCCTATGACAGCACGGTAAGACATTATTCAAGCTCCTTAAATGATATACATGATCTAATTCTTTAAAGTTACCACATTTCCTGGGGCAGAGCCAAAACATTATCTTTTAGTTACTCTGGGGAAGCGAGACTGAAAGCAGCGTGTGCCCACAGAGCCCACGCACAGAGAGCTGTGTCTCTGCCCAGCATCACCTGCACTCACAGCTCTGGGCAGGGCTGCAGGGCCCCAGAAATTCCCAGCTGTGCCTGGGCATCCCACCACCAGAATTATCAGAACCTCCTCTAGTGTGGCAAGACATTACAACAGCTGCAGTTCAGAAGGTTTTCCAAGAGACAGGGACACTCACAGTGCTCCAGGGCTCAGTTCTGTGCCAAGGAGCACCAGAGAGCTGCTGCTCAAGATCTAAAGCCAGATATAAAGGGAGAATCCAAGCTCCACCCAGCCTCCTCCTCCTCCTCCTCCAGCAATCAGCACTGAGCTGCCCTACCAGCCCTTTGGGGTCAGTTGTGAAATGCTCAAAATACCCAACAAACTTGTCAGTGCATAAATGCACGCACTCTGTACAACAGCTGAGATGTAAAAGCTGGAAAACACCTCTCTTCAGGCAAGAATCTCTGCTGTCAGCCTTCAGAACCTCTTTCCATTCAAGTTCTCTGTCACTTTATTACCAGCAGCTCCTGGGAATGGTGCTCTCAAACACATGCTCCATTTTGAGCAAAACCACAGTTCATTAGGATTGAAATTAAAATAGCGAGTGGCTCCACACCTGTGTGATGTGTTTGACAGCACAAGTTAGGAAATAAACTTTTTTTTTTTTCCCTCTAAAAATAACAATTCCCATTAGTCACCAGGATTTGTAGAGCAACACATGCCAGTCATTCAAGGAAAATAAATGGCCTTGAAATAATAGTGAAATGCTGCATGTGAACTGATCGTTCAGGGACAAGGCAGCAGCGAGACTTCCCTCTGCAGTCCAGTCCATTAGGAAACAAACAAAGGATAATAATCACAGTGCCATGAAGAAACTCACTCTCTGAGCTAAAGAGGTCATTAAAAAAGAAGCAAACAAAACCAATCCATTTGGGAGAATAATCATAGAGGAAGGAGAAAGAATGGTCTGAAGAAATTCAGCATAGGCAGCTTGTGTTTGCATCATTGCTTCAGCACTCCTGTGAACTTTAGCATAGACATGATCAGCACAAACTGAGATTCTTGTACATATATACAGACAAGACTCATGGTGCAGAATAAATATTTACCTATGAAGCACTCTAAGAAGGCACAAATGTTTGCTACATGCGCTAGTGGCTAAACACTACTCGCTCTAAAGGCACTAAATACGGCGGAGAATCATCTGCATCAAGACTATTCTTTTGCTCTAAATTCAGCAAATTTTAAAGGGATTACAGACACTGTAGGCCCAGTTCTTATGCTGTTAAGTATGGCAAAAAAAATAGAGAATTTATTAATAGCATTTCCAAATAGTACATCAGGGATTGTTATAACCAGTATAAATAAAGCAGATCGTATTCTGGAAATAATGAAATGCTGAAATAAGTCATATTCACAGCTTTCCATTTCTGAAATGTAATTGGTAATTTTATGTGACAGTGATTCGGTTTCTAGAAACAAACATAAGCAGATTGAAAATAAATCTGCATTAAACACTACGTAACTACTTCTGCCCATTCTGTGGGGTTTTCACAGCTAGAAACGTGTGCTCACAGCTCCTGGGAGAACAGGGGCATTTTCCACCCAAATGATCAAATAAATTACATTTCCTTGAAATGAGCAAATCTGTTTCAAGCTGTCAATCTAAACCACGTCTAGGAAAAAATGAAGAGTCTAAGAGCCACAAGCTTCAATAACACATGAGAGAGCATGAAAGCCAGCAGGTCCATGTGTTATTGGACAGTCACGGACACTAACCTCACTTACAGAAAACAGGGTTGAAATCAATCACTGGACTTCCATACAACCAGGAGGTAATTTTCTTTCTTTCTTTTTTTTTTTTCCCTTTTTTTGTGGCCCTGTAACCATTTCCCCATACTCTGCTTTATCCAAGTATCAGATTTAGAGGCCCCATATCTCGATTCCATGAACTGTCATCATCACAGACAGCTCAGGGAAGCTTCCAAAAGCTCCAGGGAGTGCTCCACCACCGAGGCACAGAATGTGTCACCCCACAGGGGTTGGTTCGTGGTGCTCAAGACCTCATTTGTTAATTAATTTAGAATAAGTGCGTGGAACCTGTTTGTAACACTCCGAATTTCACAGGTCCAGCTACTTCAGTCGTGCCAATTTCAGCATTTCCAGGGCTAGCGGACACATCTCTCCTGCACACCACACAGTAAAGCTGCAACTTGCCTCCCACCAAATTTTCCTTGGATCTTTGCCAAAGCACATTCCCACAGCACACCCGGAACGGCGTTGTAAGTGGGGTTAGCGACTGTGTAGCGACGGTATGGGCTGATCACACCATACACAGACTTACAAAATACTCCCTAGCCTCAATGGCACACGTGGGGGTCCCTAAAGTCCTCTTCATGAGTTCTTTGTGAATATACAAAGACTGTGTCTGCTGGTGAGTCAGCAAGAGAAAACACACATTGGTTACACCGGGGACGAGTGCAGCACCTCTGTGCTTTTACTGCTTCTACAGCAAAAGACAGCTCAGTGTTTAACCAGCCTCAAAAGTGCAGAGTGGGAGCTTCCTAGAAGCTGGGTGAACATTAAGAGTTCAGCATGCTCACAGAGATCAGAAAATATTGTGGTTTTAAATGCTTGCTTAAATACCCAGGTCAGAAAACATCTCTCTCTGTGCTAGAATAAAGCGTGGCTGTAATGACCCCACCCGCCCAAAAACCCCGGTCCTGGCACAGACAGAGACACTTACGTTAGAATAACAAGCATTCCCAGGGCAGGGAACAGAGCAGGTTGGAGAGGGGGTGGCTGGTTTGCTGTTTCTGCACAGAACTCACAGAACAACAAAGCACTGATCAGTCAGGCAGAGCGACAGCTCGGTGTGGAGGGGCAGGACTGCTCAGTGTGTCAGAGGAGACAGGGAGGGAGAACATCCACTGGTGCAATGGAAATAACATCACATTGTATTGAAGTCAACAACTTCCACTAAGAAGGAAACCACAAAAGTTCCTCCGTGTGCTTTGGGGAACCGTCTGGAGGCTGGAACTTGGGTCATGGCAGCAAAATCCATCCCAGCTCCCAGACCATTCTCTCTCTGCCCGGTCCCATCCCGGGCTCCGAGGCAGGAGAGAAAAGGCAAGTCCACACAACGCACAGGGAGCAATTCAGAGGTGTAAGTTCTGCCCCTGGATGGTGTTAGTTCGGAGTACTGCTCTTTAAGAAAAGGTGCTGATGCTACTGCCGCTGCAGCAATAAAACAAAAGAACACAAAATTAGTATCAACCAGCAGAATACCGAGTTTCCTTTGTCCTCAAAGTGGAATTAGAAAAAAGCAGCGCAAGCATAAATGAAATTATGAGTTATGTAAGTGGTTCCTCATTCTTTGTACGCTTCTGGCTTTAACTTCCCTAAAGAGGCAAAGTTGATTTGAAAGTGTTACTTTTATAGTGTCTTTTTAAGGAGCTATTAGAAACAACGCTCACAAAAACTGTGTTAGAGAGATTTTCCCCTTCTCCTAGTTCTGATCCATAATAAGTGCTCTAACAGCTTTATGGTATTTTCTATAATGGACATTTCTGCTGTTGGGGTTTAAAGAAAAAGCTTTGAGGCAAATACAAAAATGTGATTAGAAAACCATAGACACCGCCAAGAGTCAGCACCTAAATATTTAATTTATTTTTTTTTAAACAGACTAGGATTTCATATTGGCAGTGACCACTGATACTGGTATTGGCGCCTCCCCATTAACCTTGCATCTGTTGTGAATTGCTCAGGCATCTGTTTCCTTCCATGAAAACAAGATTCATTGGATTTTTGGGTTTGGAAGCAAAATTAAAACCAGACCGGGCACTGGGTACAGGACATATCATAGCTAATTATGTAATTCATTTTAACAGTCACCAGTGATTTTGCCACTTTAGCTTTGTAATTCCTCTTTCCAAATGCAACCCAAGATGCTCAACCAAAAAATTTCAAAGGAAATGGCTAAAACACACAGCCTCCCAGACACGTCCTGATCTCACAGATTTCATGGAGGAGAGGTATGGGAATCCATTCACGTGTTATGTTTCAAGGATCAATTACAACGTGGGGTTCTGCTGCTGGAATTTATCCTGGTAAAGGTCTTAGGACTTGTTCCCATCAAGTAGTTACTTTTTTTTTTTCCCTTATCCCTTAAGTCAGTGCAAAAAAGAAGGAGTATGATCCCGTTTCCTTTGGAATAAACATCATCACTTGGCTTTGCAGGAGTTGAGAGCTCAGGTTATCAACAAAGCCAGGAAGGACCTGCTTGGCAAATTGGGGTGAATTCTCTAAAAGAACACTTGGAGAGCCTTGTGGCCTTCCCTGAAGGTGCCTGGAGTGGAATTCTGCCAAGGAACAAACCCAGCAGTGCAGAGAGAAGAATTCAGAGCAAATGAAATGATTCAGAGTCCAAGCTCCTGTTACCCTGTGCTGTCCTGCTGCTCCCTGCACAACCTTCCAGAAGCTGCTTCCCTGATGTGCTTCTGTACAGATCGAGTGTCCTTCTGTGTAGAGGAGAGTTCCACCCTACATCCTCCTCCCTTCTCTGGTAACATCACAATCCTGAGCAAAATTCAGATGCTTTTGGATTTGACAGGGGGAGGGAAAAGGATGAAAAAGGAAATCTTATTAAACTTCGTAAGGTTAAAGCAGAATTAACAGTGTTGTCTGGCTGACTTGAATATAACAGGGGGTGCTATCAACTGAAACAAACACCAACCACTTGCTTTTCACCTGACAAATTAAAAGGATTTGTGGGTGGTTCTTGATTTCCTTTTTGCCAGGTTAGAATTATTTTATTTTTGAAGGTCATATGGCACTTTGATGATCTACTAGTCTGACCATTTGTATATTACTAATCACCAAGGACCTATAAAATGGGAATTTGAAAAGGTTTCAAATGAGACAGAGCAAGCTGCCAGAGGTTTGCAGCCTCTCCTCCTCCTCCATATCTCTGGATGAACTAAGTGGCCTGAATCCATCCCTCTGGGAAAATAAGAGATGATGATCTGAATATTGGCCTCCAAATCCACAGCATGAATCAGGCAGGAAAAGTATTTACATACAAACATCCTGGCAGCTGACAAGGGAAGGAAATGAAATAGAAAAAGAACACAGTGAAAGGTTTAAATGAAGATTTAGCAATAGCCCTCCCTTGCACATTCACAATGAATGTGTCAGCAGAAATTTGAGGGATTCCAGAGACTATGGGACATTGCTCTCATTATTTCACCTTTGACACAAAGCACTTAAAAGAATATGATATGCAGAATTTGTAAGGTTTGCTTGGATTTCTTAGATAGTCAATACATAAAATAATGGTCTTTCTTCAGGAAATATTAAAAGCAATTGGTCATAATTGCTTCTATGGCCAAATACACAGAAAGAACTTGTACCTTTGAAACACAAACTTGTGACGTGCCCATGGGACTACCAGCTAGTATTTTTAAATCAAGCAGGAAATATTCAGCACTATTTAAAATATTCTGTTCTGTGAATGGCCCTACTGGAGCATTATATTGTAACACAGCCCCTGACTTCTCCCAGCACTGCCCACCCTCGTACCGCTGCCACCACCCAGCACAGCCCTGCTGCTGCACAAGCAGAATTGAAAGACTGTCTCCTCCTGTAAAAACCACTGAGAAAAGATGCTCTGAGCCAAACTGCAACTGAGAAAAGGAGGGACAGGGGCAGACCGTGCCTTTGGACAGCTTAGAAAATTCCCACTTCCCCAGTGAAATGCCTCAGAAGTTGGGTTTTTTGGGTTCTGAGTGTCCCACGAAATGGCAATTTCCTAGTAAAGAACTGAAACTCACTCTGTTTAAAACATTTTTTTTTTTTACTATATTGTCTGTAACCAGACAAGACAATGTATTGTTTACAGCTCTGTTCTCAGTTCTTTGTAACTAACCACTGAAGTTCCCCACTGAAATCATCTCTGCTTTTATACAGCTCCAGCTCCTCAGTCCTAAATGTCAGTGCTGTCCCTGGAGCAGAATTTGGGTTTTTTTTAAAGTAGTCACTTCCTTGCTGTAACAGTCTGCTCTAAAAAACATTTAAAATACTGAACACTTGTGTCTCCTTCCTGTAGTTTCTGCAGGAGGAAATAATTCTAAGGACCTTCACCTTGCAGGCAAAGCCATGCTATGCCAGCAGTTTTTCAGCCAAACTCTGCCACGTGCAAGGTTCTGGGAAGATAAACTCCTATTTTTGTATGAAAAATGGAAAATTTTATCTCAGGGACCTGTCATTTTATTCTCTGTTTATGAAGACCACCAAAGAGAGGGATTAATTCAACACAAACACTACAGCATCAGTTTATGAATATAATCAGAGCTGCTGTCAGGAGCAGGAACAGAGCAGTTGACCTGAGAAAACTCAGGCCATGTTTCCTGCTCAGCAGCAAAGAAGACAAGAACATTGACCTTGGAACAGTGGAGATGTGTCACAAAGTGTTGGATCTTTTTTTCTCCCTGGTTTTGCTCTGCTTCATCACAAAGTTTAGCAAACTCTCAGTTAATGTCTTCCCTCCAAAGTTTGCAGGAACAGCACCTGTTGTTGACTATTCCAAAGAGCTTCTCAACTTGGTATTTTTGCTAAGATTGACACTTAAAGTGTCAAGAATAAGAACTGTGGGGAAAAAAACCCTCCATTTAATTAGAACAAAAGTAAAGGAGCACTGCAGGATTTAAATTTTTCTATGGACACTTTAAAAAACTGCTCAACCCAAACCATCTGCTCAAGGAGGCCCACAGGCAGACATGATAAACTTGGTGGGAAGCTTGATAACTTCAGCTCTCTACAGGAATCAAATCAAACCTTATCCAAAGCTTCTTGAAAATTCATGCTACAGGATGAAGTTAAGGCCTTGAGAAGTGTCAGCCTCAAATATTTAGGGCCAACTCTAACTGAGGTCTCTTTGGTGTGTGTCCCCCAGCCTTTCCCAACACAGCAGCTGGTTTAAAGAACACATGGACCATAGAAACTACCCTATTACCACCCAAAATCAGTTCACCTTCCATAAATAACCTGTTTCTTATCTCAACACTCAGGATCACTACACAAGCTGACACTGCAGCACCTGAAGCAGGAGCTGAGTGTCTGGAACAGAAGTTCCCACTGCTCCAGAAGAAGTGTCAGATCATTTCAGAGAAATTCCTGAACTTGCATCAACTGAAACCACAACATTTATTTTCTAGAATCCCTCCTAGTTCACTCTCCTCCCTCTGACACAGACATTGAGCTGAAACCACCCTGCAGAGACAAAAACTAATGACTTGGACTTCTCCATGTGCCTTGCCTAACCTTCAGCTCCTCCTTCCATACTAAGAATGACAATCCCTCCTCCCCCAAAAAAACCCCAGACGGGTAATTTCCATCAGCAAATGCACTTTTTGTGGTTTCACTGTGGGGTTTTTGACTGCAAATGGCTTTATAGGTTGGGAACCCTTGGATTTTGTCTGCATGTTATGATAAAACACAATGGAACCATTCACAAAACAAAACAAGTTTTTACATAACAGAACGTGCAATAAAAGCGCAAGAAAGAAAGAAAAGAAAGAGAGAAAGAAAGAGAGAGAGAGAGAGAGAGAGAGGTATCCAGAGGAGAACTTACCCCGCGCTTTAGGCTCCTGAAGCAGTGGATTTTGGGTTTGGAGGTCATGAACTCGTTGAAGCGATGGGAGAGGGGTTCCTTTTGCTGCTTGGGAGACTGGGGGCCGTTGGGAACAGCAGAGGGTGAGGCAGAGGCAGGGGGAGGAGGAGGGGGCTGATGGGGGGATGTTAAAAGGGACATAAGCTACGTATAAGAGATGGAGAAGTGACAGAATAAAAAAACCAAAATAAAAAGATAAAAAACACAAAACGAAAATAAGCATCAAAACCAATATTTGAAATCCAGAGGAAAAAAAAAAACCAACAACCAATTAAATAATTAAATTTTAAAGGCCATGGTTTAAGAGAGGGGAGAAAGCAGTAGTTAAGAGTTGTGTTAAATGAAGAGTGTGATAAATGAAAGTTTTAGTAAGTGATGCAACAGAAGAGTAACATAAAGTATTTTGAAGGAAGCTCATGCAGACTCTTCCATGCAGCGCTATCCCCATAAATTGCCCTGTTCTGCTCTGTGGACAGCTCGGAATAATGCATATGGATAGAGCTTTCAAATACCTGAATTTAAATGGATCAGATAAGGAAGGTACCTTAGTGCCCAGTAGCGTTTCTATTATCTGGAAAACAACAAACCACATTCCTTCCTGCTTCCAAATCACACCTCAGCCACGTGCATCACACTTCACTTGTACAAGTTATTCTATGAATTTGCTCAGGAGTTAGTCCTGGGTGTGTTTCTCTTTCTGGCTACACTGATGTAAGCACCAGAGAGCTGAGTTTTTTCTCATACCAGCACCACAGGAATGACCCATTGTGAACTGGTAGGGGTTTTTTTGACTCTAATTAGAAGTAGTTTGGTAAATAGTCAGAGCAAGGGTGAGGTTAAACCAACGAAGCTACTCTGGGCTTCCATCAGTGTTACTGAAAACTGATTCAGTCCAGTCACCCTGACACGTTCTGGGAACCCCAGATAAATGCTGCCATGCATTATGGTGTAAAAATATGACAGTGGAATGAAAAAGGTTTAATGGATACATAAGTTAATATGGTCTTTTTTTAAAAAGTCAACTGCTCAGTTAGTGATTACTCCATTAGTTGTGCTTCAGGATGAAATCACAGCAATTCCCTGTTTCCCAGCCACCCACCTGCTCACCCCAGTGCACAGACTGGAAACGCCAATGAAAAGCCAAGGAAGAGTTTGAGGAGTGTCAAAACAGTAACGCCACGTTAAAGCTTCCCACGAGTAACAATGTTAGTTGGCACACATGGCACTAGGTAAGTGGTTTACGATTCCTTCTCGGAGTTAGGAACAGAAATGGACCATGGCAGAGACGTGACAACTCAAGTTAAAAATTAATTTTAAAAACTGCAACATAATTAAAGAAATTATACAGAGAAAAAAAAAATTAAAGATATAAAGAAATTTAAGTAACCAAAGACTACAACAAAACGCCATATTAAGACAGCAGTTATTAACTTTCCGAATCTAAAATTCTCTTTAAAACAAACTGAACTTGCCAGGATTACCAGACAAGACAGAGGTTATTGACAAAACACACACTAGCACCAAGCTCAAGTTTGCAAATCAGTACCTTATTTTTCTTGATGAATGGCCATAACTTGCCCTTGGATTTGCCACCAAACTTCGGCTCTGACTTGCCATCCCCTCTGGAGTTGGAAAGGCTGGATTCTGAGACAGTTCTCTTCATGGGCTGCGTGAAATCCTCAAATTCGATGTCTCCTGGAGGCTCAAACCCTGATTTGAAGGCTTCTATTACCATCTGAGAATCCTGGAAAGGGACAGATGCAATACAAGTGTAAGTATCTCAGGTGAGGGGCTGTCAGAAAATTGGTGGCTCATTAAAACAGAGCAAGAAGGGAACCAACCCTTACAGTGACCAGGTTCATTGCTGGGAATGGACACCCATCCAACAGCTGCCCAACTCCTGAATCTGACCACAGCCAGCAAAATTTTCATTCCCTTTCTTTCATTTCCAACACAAAAATCAAAATTCTGGTACAAACATCTTCTAAAGGCCTTTTCGTGTCTACTGGTTAAAAGCACCAAGAGCTTATTAACTTTACTGACTACAAAAGCAATCACACCTCAGTACCTGAACAGGTAAGTGACTTGTAACAAAGATTTAAGGTGACTGAAACCACCTTCCCTCATGGCACTATTAGGAGGGATATAAGTCAGCCACACTGACTGTAGACTGTGTACAATGGCTTTGCTGTTTTGTTTCTTTTGACAGAGGGAAAAGAAAAAAAGCAAATCAAAGTAAAACCAATACACAGACCTTCTCCTACTCAGGTCTACAAACACAATTAATTATACATAAGCTCAAATTCAGATCTCATCTTGCCAAATGCATTTAAATCTAATGGACTCAGGGGAAAAAGTATTTTTACACAGTTCTCATTTACTTGTTGGTTTTTTTTTGGGGGGAAGGGAGATTTTGGTTATACTCTAACAGCTTTCTTCTAAGTTCATTAGACAAACTGTGCCTCGGAATACAAATATCTTAGTAGTCTCTAGAGAGGGGCATCACCATCCTGACCACATAAACAGATGAACTTGTTGCTTCGAAGGCATTTCACAGATTCTGTGAAATTTAGTGGGCTTTAAACTGAAAAAGAGTAGGTTTAGATTAGATATTAGGGAGAAATTCTTCCCTGTGAGGGTGGGGAGGCCCTGGCACAGGTTGCCCAAAGAAGCTGTGGCTGCCCCATCCTTGGAAGTGTCCAAGGCCAGGTCGGAGCAACCTGGGACAGTGGAAGGTGTCCCTGTCCATGGCAGAGGGTGGAATGAGGTGATCTTTACGTTCCCTTCCAACCCAAACCACTCTCTGATTATAAGAGTCTACACAGTGTTATATTAAATTCCCCACTGGTATTTTATTCTATGCACGATGCTTTTCATTTTTTCCTTTTAATTTTACAGTGTTCTTTCCACTTACTCAAAACATCCTTCCACTACAATGGAGCTAAAAATAACCAGCATGCTCCATATATCACAGAGATAATGTCATAACAGGAACTTTAAAGTCCATAACAAATTAGTTTTATCTGCTGCTAGAGCCTTCTGAATCGGGTTCTGCACAGGTTCACCTGGCAGTCACCACAGCTCACCCTTGCAACACGACCTTTGTGTTGCTCAAGTGGTAAGAAAGGAGAAATGAAAAAAAAAAAGAAAACATTTAAAACTATTAGAAACACAGTTACAGCTGTCCAGGACTCCCAGTTGATTCCAGACAGTTTCTATTGCTATTATCAGGAGTTCTGAACACTTCAATGAGAGCATAAAATAACCTATTTACATGGTTACACATTTAGTAACTAAGCCTGAAAGAACAGCCCCTGTGCAAAGTGGGCACGAGGCAGAACTTTATTCTCTGCAGCTTAAATATTACACAGAAAGTATTAAATCTGACCCAATATGCCATTCTGGTTCTTCACACTACCCAATAAAATAGAGGTCAGGATGCAGGAGCCACCAATTTGACTTCTCTGTGTGCAACAGAGACTGACTTGAATATAAAATTCACCCTGGTTCAAACAGCCAGCTGTGTGTTTTGCTAAGACCTCACTTGAAGACTCAAGCAGAGCAGAGGCTGAGAGGTGAATCTCCCCAACACGATTTCACCACACAGCACCAAAAGCTGTGCCTCAAAAGCAGGATATGTTGTTCTAACACAGGAATCTGTACCCCAGTTCCCTGTTTTCCCTACTCAGAGAGTAATTGTCAGACTCCTTGGTTTCCTCTGCTCTTTGTGAGAGCAGTTGCTGAACAGAGAGTACAGGATTAATTTCAGAACTTCAGCCTTGGGTTTATGCTGCCAGTTCATGGCTCTGGGCACTGAACAGCTCAGAAAAGATGCCAGTGAGAAACATGTATGGGAAATTCAAACAGTCAGCCAGACATATGCTGTATTTGAAGCACTAATGTGATCCATGAGCAGGGCTGAAGATTTGGTGTAGGGAGGGAACAAATCATTCTGCAAACAAAACAGAAAACACATTTGCCCTTGTGGTCACTGAACATCAGGAAGCTCAACCGAGCTCTTTATCAGCCTTTTTATCAGAAAGGCTTCTTTGCATCCTACAGTGATTCTCAGAAGGCAAGGTTTACTCATTTACAGGTTGCCAGCAAACCCCAAATCTGCAAAGAAAGGTTTTACAGGAAGATTTTGCCAAAGTGGTTTGCAATAGTTTATGTAGCCAATCCTTTGAAGATTTTCATTATTATAAAACTAACTGGAATGAAGACATTTCTGAAACTCTGCTTTCTGACTATGAGACATAGAAACCACCTTTGAAATTATCCAACACTAACTTATTCTATGCAGAAGCCTACTTTTCAATTACAACATTTCAAAAAGTAACTATCCTGGCAAAAGGAGAGAATATTCCTAAAAGATGACATCTTAAAAATAACAAGAGTGGCAGTAGAGGCATTTCTGGGTGTTAAGTAGATTTGGGGAATAATCTGAGCACATCCTGCCTCAGACAAAGCAGTTTGGGACACGAAGCTGTGCTTTGGTTTAGTTCTCCGACTGCAAAGCTCTGGTGCTGCAGCCTGGACACAGGATTTAATTCTCCATGTACAGGAGATCAATACTAAAGATGACAATCAACAAGGCAAACAATGCAACACTTACATTCTTGTGATCCACTGATTCTGCAGCCTTTGTTATCTCATCCAGACACTTCCCAATGATGGGGATCACTTGGCGGTCGACTTCAGCGAAGGTTTTCATGGATTCACCTATCCTCACGATCCTCCTCTCCTCCATCTCTTGTATTTTCTAAAATGTTACATTTCATTCAGATCAAACATCAAGATTAACTTCACAGTTTCACCCGGTTTTCCTCCCCAGGGTACATCAGCTGCTTTAAAACTTTTGGTTTAAATATATTTTTCGGGACAAAGTAGGACAGCTGTTCTCAGGAAGGCACCAAGTGATGCTGTCCCCTCAAACATCAAAATGTTCTAAATATTCAGGATGTTCTAAAAGTAATCTCTTTTACTATTACTGGGAACTTTTCAATTAACTTTTTATGTTAAAAATTGCTGATTTGCCAAACCCCCAGCTTTAGACTTGTAAGGATTGGCTCCTAAGGCTTTTAAAGAGAATTTCTGTAACAATAAACTCATTTTCTGTGCATGTTCTGAGAGATCTTATTTTCATTCCACTGCAGAACCCAAGGAAATAAAAATCTTGATGTCTCCCCTTCTCCTTTTCCCTAGAAGGTAATTTTTGGTTTACAAGCAGTCCTCTACATCGTGTATAGTTCACAATGCAATACATCACGTATTGATGCACAATACATCACGTGTTGTTCACACCAGGGCTTCCCAACATATGCTCCTCGTTGCTCAGTGGATTCAGTGCCAAGATCTTCAGCATCTATTCCACAGGCCTCTCATTTACAACAAGGGAAACTGGATGTGGCATAATTCTATTATGACAAATTACAACAGGATACAGAAGGACATGAACAGGAACAGCCTGTTTCACACACTGGACTGCAGGAATCCTATGGAACTTCATCAGCTTAAAAATCCCCATTGCCTTGACTGATCCACGAGCAACATCAATTCTTTGCAGAAAACCCCAAACTTATTTCAAAATCTGAAAGAAAGCACCAGAGCTTACTGGGGCACTGATAGGGAAAAGGGCACAGCTGCAGGACTTCAACATGCCCACCTACACATCAGAGTGCCTACCAGCTCCTCCATTAAACACAAATGTATTGCCAAAAAATGTTATATATGACTCCAGGAATAACTTATCTCAAGGCACTGGTTTGAAACACCATGGGGCAAAAGAGGAGGTGCCCACTTAGCTCAGAAGTTCCAGCAATGGGTAGGAAAGTGCGTGTTTGCTACGCAAATATCAGCTATTTCTCATCTGATGACAAGCATGTGACATTTCCTCCCTTAAAAAGGTTGTATTTTCCACTTTTGATGCTCATGACCCATTACAATGGAACAGTCATTTCAAACTTCTGTTCTACTGCATTAATCTCAGTTCGTTCAGCCAAGCACAAATTTGGGTCTCCAGTCACAATAAATGGGATGGCTTTTTTATTCTTCCTCTACTCCCTTTTCTTTAGGCACCTTAAGACATAATCAGCACTAAACCCTTTGGCATTCAGCTACTGCAGAATTACTATGCCTTACATTTAAACATCTGTGGAGTGTGATTTGAGCACAGGTTGTAAAGGGCTGTGAGATGCAACGATGCCCAGCTGACTCCTGCCCCAACAATGCAAATGATGTTCTCATCCCCAGCTGCACAGGCACAAGAGTTGGACAGAGCCAGGCTGTGAGGATTCCAAAGGCTCTCGTAATCTGTCATGACAGTTCAATGTCACCTTCCTCACATTTTATTGATCCCTTGATATCTAGTCTAAAAAAACGGGATAATTTATCCTACCCTCTCGTGGGGTGTCAGACTGCACGTAAAATTTGCTAAGAATGACCCCAAAAATTAGCAAAAAGTCAAAGTCAGGGACTTGAGGTGATGTGCAACATGACCATCTGTTCTCATCACAGAACTATGGGCTACTCTAGACCCGTGCCAGTGTCCCTTACCTGGAAGATGTTTGGTATGTGTGTGTAGTAATGCTCGTGCTGCTCACTGTTGAACTTCTGTAGGGTGGAAGAATATTCTGCTTTGCTGTCTTCTGCCATCTGATGTCGCAGCTGGGCTTGCTGTCTTGCCTGAAGAAACACCCAAAGAAATTTATAATTTACTAATGGAAGGAAATTACATTTGTTGTCCTCCTCATCTTACTAGCCAGGAACACCAGGATACAGGACTCAGCACACTCCAGCTTTTGGTTTAGTCATATTTTGTCAAGGAGTTCATCTCCCCAAGCACAAGTTGCAGTGTGGGCAGTGCTGCTGTTCCTTTCTAGTGTTAACAGGTGCTGTTTCCATGAACCACTTTGCATTCCATGAACAGCCTTCATCACACACATGTCAAACACCAAAACAGGCTTGTCCCTGTGCCTGCCCACTGGACAGGCACTTTCTCAGCACACTTGTGGACACACTTCTTGCTCCACATACGCCCTGTTGGGTGGCACCTACTTTCCTCTAATGAACTGCTTCCCTGTTGCTGAGCAGTATTTTCTGGGGAAAGGGAAGTGAGGAAAAAACCCAGCACAGTTTTGTCTCATTTCCCATGCCTTGGCCAACACAATCACGAGAAAACATCTTAACTCTGTGTATTCTGCAGAGTCCTTTACCCACACTCCCTCCAACAGCTCTGGTATGAAGCTCACAAGGGATGGGGAGCCTGAGCAGCAGCTGAGACATGACTCCCTTCCTATTTTTACCCACACAGATGATTTGTTTTGCTACCCAACACAGCAGAGCCCTGGGCAATTAATCTCACTTCTTTCCCTAGAATAATCTGTCCCTGAGTGACCCTTTTATATTTTCAGATTCTTCCCCTTACAGTTCTGCTTTCCAAGGCCTTCTGTCATCTGTTTCACTGTCCAATATTATTCCCTTACTCCCTGTCCCATCTGTTTGGTTTAGATGCCTTTTCCTTCCTTGCCAGTGGCTCTTCCTTCTCTTCCCTTCTTACATTCCCGTGCCTTCACTCCCTGTCCTGCTCCTGTCACTGAAGCTCCCCCTCACCTGGCCAGAGCTCTGCTGCTCGATTTCTGAATAACCCCTTCAGACAAGGGGGTTATTTAAAAATTCAATATTAAAATTAAATTTTAAATTTAAAAATCACTTAAAGTACTTTGGAGCGTTTCAGGGAACACAACATGACAAAGAATTGTAGCCTATTTCAAGTGGACTCCCATTAAAACCAGTTCAGATCAGGGTTATGCTTTGAACTGTTCCAAGCAGACAGTAAGTTTCCTGACAACAAGTCCATGAAATACCAAATCATGGAACATTTTAGTAATCATAAATGGAAGGTAACAAATTCTGCCAGAGGGTTTCAAATCTCAATTTGTCAAGCTTGCACATCTCACCTCATAATTTACTTCACCTCGATTCAGCTATTGCTTTTGCAGTCAATTGTAGGAATTTCCCAGATCCCTCCACATTCTTTCTACAGAAATAATTCAAGCAGAGTGAGGAGATACTGGGCACCAAGTGCATCAGAGGAATGAAACAGTAGCATCAAATGGAAAAGAATGTGACTATAACCAAATAAATGAATCCAGTAGAAGACAGACCTTCAACTTTGCTTGTTCCCCAGGAGTTTTAAGTGTCCACTGCAAAGGATGGGTTTATAACTTCAGAATATTTACCTGTTGCAATCAAATTCCAAGAAGCCACATCACTCATTTCCCTGCCAAGTGCTACAAAGCTTATTAAACTTTATCATCCACACACTGGTACACAGCTACCTTAAATGTGAGTGGAAAACAGGGTAGCCTTGTACTACAAACACCAATTTACCAGGAAGACAAAGTCAGCCATGGAAGGGTGGGACAGCTGGAGGAGCGGTGCAGGCTCGTCTCCCAACCCCTTCCTCACATCCCAGCTGCTGCAGATCAATATCCATTTGTGAGGCCCATTCTCCTCATCTACCTAAGAGCAACCCATTGTTTGAGCTGACTGTACACCAGCCCCACTCCCACTCATACAGCTGTCTGTCTCTCTCTTTTTTTTTATGATTTTAAATAGTGCAACTCCGGAATTTGTCCCTTGACTCTATTGTTGAAGCAGAAAAACAAGAAATCCATTATTACACATTTCCAGGCAGATCCAGCAAGCATTAAGCCAGAGTTCATTGTCGTGAGCAAACTCAGTGGCTGGACATGACAAAGTAACTCTGAGCTAAATGTATACAGGAGTAGACACTCACTTTCCAAAATGATCTTAACTGGCCCCAAATAAGAGGGGGAAGCAGATGAGTAAATAAAATTGGGTGCATTCCAAAACCAAGAATTTTTGTGTGAGAGCCCTAGTGCTGTTTTGTTTCTCCTGGCCATTTAATGCACTTGGCAAGCTTTAAACAGCTTAAATATTTTTCCAATGAGGTATTTGGATCTTAAAATAAGAATATTTTTTAAAAGCCCAGAATTTTTGTATTACTTCATTTGAGTATGTCACTTACTCTAACATCATCACTTCTACTATCAACAGAATAACATTTTAGAGGCTCCTGCACTCTGCTGAAGCACTGAGTGATAAAAATGAGTTGATGTTAAGTTTAACATTCAGAGTAATGGATGCAGTAGCCTGGAGCTGCAGAGACTCACAGGAGCTATTTCAGGAGTAATTTATAGTTGAGCTTTACAGAAGATAAAGTTTGGCCTTCTTTACTGCTCACTTGTGCATGCAAACAGCTTCAGAGGAGGTTTTCTTGGGGGGGCTTCTTAGAGTTAAGGGTAAAATATTTTCTCTGAACAGTATTTCCAGAAGGAAAGGCTTTGGAATAATTGGGCTCTGGAAAACCAAACCAGGACTTTAGATATAAGAGAATAATACTGTGATGCAGCTTTCAGTTAACACACTCTCTCCTTGAACTGGGCAGGGATGACTGAACAAGAGCTCACATTTCCAGCACCACATGTGAAACCACAATCCAGATCTCCTACAAACTGCCAGATTGCTCAGTTGTAAGAGATTCAAGGCAAGGTACTCTGAATGCAACAAAAAAATCCTTTCCCTTCTTCAAAGAAAGAAAGAAAGAAAGAAAGAAAGAAAGAATGAGGTCACCTTTCAGCAACATCAAAAAGCAAAAAGTATAAGTAAACCTGAGAGGTTTGTGGGGAGAACAGCAGCAATTTGCTTTCAAATGCCTGATGCTGTAAAAAGACACACAGATTTTGCACACCCCCAATCCCAAACATCCCATTATAACATCTTTTTGTCCCCAAATAAACATGCACAGTGTACAAACACGTCCCTTACTCTCCAAAATCTGGTTTCATTAAGGCAGTTCTTATCTGAACTCACAAGGCAGCAACAGAACTATAAGGTCACACATGTCAAAATGCTTATAAAATGCTCCCAAAAATGAATGACAGCCCAGTACCTGCAGCACCACTAACACTGCAGTGAGCATACAGGTTAAGCTTCAGGTTCCCACTGCCATGGCAATCAGATTTAAACACAGTCACTCCAGGGGAGTGTTTTCTGTAACTCAGAGAACGCTGTGGGTAAAGGAAGCAAAGCTCTGATAGACTGAACTAGGGAAAATCTCACCAGTAGCAGGAAAGGCTTGTTATGTGTGACCTCCTCTCACAGAACCTGGACAAAACTGCCATTAAATACAATCAAAACCAGTCTTTTATATTTTCTTTAGACAGCCTTGCTAGATGATGGGGGAGAATGCAGGGCAGTAGTGAACTGCAGAGCAGTAATAATTTTCAAAGCCTTGATTTTTAAAAAAATCAGTAGAACTGTGGCTGTCTTTAGTAAAAAACAAACAAACAAACAAACAAACAAAACCAAGCCAGGCCTCAACAGCACCCACTTTAGGTGAAAAACAACACTAAACTCAATAGCCATATGAGTCTGCAACACCACTATGGCATCTCTCTCTTAAGGCAGCAGGAAGAACACAAAGATATTTACTCAAGATTATTTTAACCACATTTCCTGCAGAATTTTCTACTTAACCCCTGAGTTGCAAAAATCAGACTTTCAAACTTCATCAAAAGTTAATTTCAGCTGTTTACATGACTCTACCAGGAGACCAGAGAGGCAGATGCCAGGGTGGGACACCGATGGTCTAAAATTTTTCATGACTGAAGTACTTACGGAAGTGTTTGTTTCCCCCTTAAAATAAGAAATAAGCAACACTTTTACTCTGAAGTAACCTGTGTTTGAGAGATATATTTAGTCTGAACCTGCATGAAAACCCCTGCAGTTCAGCAACATGATGAAACTTTAGCAGTCACTGAAGAGCAGAATGAGATCAAAGAATTCCAGACACGGGAACGTCTTCATAGTCATTGCAAACATGCAGTACAAGTAAAGCTTTATATATCAATCTGAATTAAAATCAATCCTAATACTTTATGCCTTTGAGCAGGAAAATTTAACAGAGAAAGGGGATATGGACATCTTTATGAGGGGCCAACCCTGAAGGTGTGAGAAAGCGTTATCAAGCTGCTACATGTTACATGCTGCCTCTAAAAAGAATTAAAACCCAAATCCTTGTGTAGTGTTACACACCCCTTCTCCCCCCAAAGCCCTGTCTGATATGAAATGCAACTGGTGATAAAGTGATAAAGGAGAAATTTTTTTAAACCATGTCCACTTTCTGTCCTTTTGGTCTCCAATGCAGAAAAGAATGAGGAGATTTTGCTGAGAACAATTTTCTGAGACGCATTCCAGAAACAGCAAGAGGGTCAATAGACACACTGTCTTCTGGGTTTACACAGACAAAAAATGCAGCTCCTCAGGGCTGTTATGGTGGGAGTGATATGAATAACTGAAAAGGGCAGAAAAAAACCTTGGCTGCTATTCAGCTGGTCCACACTAAGTGGAACAGTTCAACTTCTCAGCAGTCGCTCTTGTCCAGAATGGCAGAGTTTCCAGTCAAAACTTTGGTGTCACTTTATTCCTTCTTTCTTTTCTCCCATTCTGCACCCCCTCTTTTCTTTCAAACTCAGACAGCATGTGAGATGCTTCACTGCCAGGCCACTGCCTGCCAAGATAGATCTGTCTTTGGCAAATCCAAGATCAGATTAAAATGCAAACATTAAAAAAAAAAAAAAAAAATCACCCCTGCCCCC